TTTGACATAGGAAATAGGTCGTTAAGATATGTACTTGTTATATTGTAAAATATCTGCATGACTCGGGGGGGGGGGGGGGGGGGGGGGAATATTAAATTGTTTGTGTGCACAGATACATTTTGTATAATCCAGTTCACAAGGAGCAAGCTTAAGGTTTGATAGGTCATCACAATAGAAAATTAGAGGTCAACTTTTGCAGTATTAATAAATACATTTATTATCTATAGCATATTTGGTACGATTACAGATATATTTACAGATTAAGGTTTAATAGGCAGGAAAACTAAATCGAATTTGAGTATTTTAAAAATTACAAAACAAATTTGTTTCAAAAGATATCAATGTATGTTATTCCCTGGGGGAAATATTGAACCTTTGGATTAATTTCTCTGAGCACAATATAATGTTGATCTAAATGTCTGATCGGCAACTCTGGTCGGGATTGGTCTTCCTACGTGTATACCGGGTACTACATGTACTATATACCAGACATTTACGCTGCAGTTAACTTTCACGTTTTCGCTTTCTGTAATGAGTGCAAATTTATTATTACAGCAAACTGAAGTAAAATATAAGAAACATAGTGATCAAAAGTGAAGGGTAAAATTAACGCTGGATGAAAATAGATTTTACTGGCAAAGGGCAAAGTTCATATTGTCTTTGTATTATGATTGGCTGAAAACGGATTTTACTATCAAAGGGCAAAAGTTTCCTAGTTATATAGCATTGTACTTTATCATATTGTCTTTGTATTATGATTGGCTATCATATCGTCACATGACAGTTTATAAGTAGCCGGTATAGTCTTGAAATGCATAGTCCAAGTTAGTAAAACTTCAAAAAAGATTCGCAATATTATGGTGTTGCAGACAAATTAATTATCTTTATACTTTTAGTGCAGTCTTGGAAAAACTGATTCAAAGTTAACTAAGATTAAATTTGCTTATGCGATGTGTAACATTTGAGATGTCAAAATGAAATGTATATATATAGGTATGAGATGCTTGGTTTCTTTCACGGGTGTTTATTTCTTTTGAAAAAATCACTAAAATGTATTATAAACCCAAAAAATGTACATTTTTACCCAACTGCATCAATTATTTATTAGCTAAAGTGAATAAAATCGGTCATTTCTTAATCATTTCTACTGAGTGATGTACCAGTATATATATGTACATATACATGTATGTATATAGAAAATCTGAGTTTGGCTTACTCATCAAATGGTCATAAAACCACAGGTTCTGTGTATTAGACAGTACAGTTGTCCATAACAGTTGTCCATATTTGGTTTGATTGTCACATCAGCAAAAAAGTTGAACGAAAAGAATACAATTATGACAAAACATATATATTTCATAAGGAGAAAAAATATAACATTATCACCAAATTTGTCCATTCATTTACTTAAATTCCTTTGTAATTAATATACTAATTTTCAGAAAAATCCTTTTTGTATTTACAAAAAGTATGGAAATATAAGTTTTCTATTCACATATATGTATATATATATTTTATATATTATTTTACAACAATTATGAAACAAATTATTTCAACTTACGTTAATCACTCTTGTTGGCCCGGATGTTAGCGCGCGCGTGTGTGTGTGTGTCTTATATGTGGGAGGAAAAGGGAGTACCCGGAGAAAAACCCACGTGGCCGGACACGGACGACCCCCATACCTATCCACTGTGCCACCTGACCCATACATATATGTACCTACTAGAAAAATCAATTTTGAACTTTGGCTGTGAAAAGGAGGTTAAGCAGTTTTATTATAAGTTATACACTATATCCAGTCTTGGCTGTTGTCTGACACCCATACGTTAGCTTGTGAGGCAAGTGTGATAGTCTTGACCAGTAAAGTATCCTCTGAGAAAGACATGTGGTACAGAATTAGGATATTTGATACTTGGGTGGCTATACCGCATACTTATTTTTTAAATTTGCAGAAATGATACCAAACATGCTGTATTTTACTGGTAATAACTAGCATGCACTACGGTAAAACTTGAATTCTCATGTGTGGAAATGTTCATGTACCAACTCTTTTAACTGAAAGCGGTGTGGAAAATTGGTGTTCATATTTTCGTGCTAATTAACTAAATGCGAAAATTTCATATAGCCAAAATTTCCACTTTACTGTATTTCAGTCCTTTGATATTCCACCCTATTTTAAAACATATTTTACTGGGTCTTGTATGATAATAGGTCCAGTTAATTGTTGTATATAGGTAAATAAGTTAGAAAATTAGAAATAAATAAAAGTATTGGAAAACCAACACAATTATAAGGTAAGAAGATCAAACGTCATGTTGGTAGTGGTCGGTCAATGTGCCGTGTAGGGATCCAAGGTGATATATACAATTGAAATTGCTGGGAAATGGCATGCTAGATAAAAGTCAATTGACTTTGATTTTTAGGTCACCTGAGACAAAGTCTCAAGTGACCTATTGCGATTGCCTTTTGTCGTCCGTCGTGCGTCCGTAAACAATTAACATTTTCGACTTCTTCTCAAAAAACCCTGAACCAATTTCAATGAAATTTTGTAGGGACCTTCCATGGACAAAGGTCATCGAAAAGAGGGGCCGGTTTAGTCCCAAGCTCCCAGGGGCCTGAGGGGCGGGGCCAAAAAGGGTCAAATTGACTAAAATTTCAAAAATCTTCTTCTCCAAAACCCCTGATCCAATTTCAATGAAATTATGCAGGGACCTTCCATGGACAAAGGTCAACAAAAATGGTGGCCAGTTTAGTCCCAAGCCCCCAGGGGCCTGAGGGGCGGGGCCAAAAAGGGTCAAATTGAGTAAAATTTCAATAATCTTCTTCTCAAGACCCAGATATGGTAGAATCAAATACTCTTCATATATGGAAGGGTCTTAAGGTGCTTTACCAAAATTGTGAATTTCTTGACCCTGGGGTCTCACGTTTCCCCTTGGGGAGGGGGTAAACTTTACCAAAGTTTATATAGGGAAATCACATTTTGGACCAACATTTGTTTAATTTCCATTGGAAGTAATTCAATTTGGGTTAGCATTACCAGTATTAGGTAGCAGTTTGATAGTATGCACATATGAGCCCTGACTGACCCCCAGGGGCTGATGGGTGGGGCCAAAAAGGGTTGAATTGACTGAAATTTCAAAAATCTTCTTCTCAAGACCCAGATATGGTAGAATCAAATACTCTTCATAGATGGAAGGGTCTTAAGGTGCTTTACCGAAATTGTGAATTTCTTGACCCTGGGGTCTCACGTTTCCCCCTGGGGAGGGGGTAAACTTTACTATAGTTTATATAGGGAAATCACATTTTGGACCAACATTTGTTTAATTTCCATTGGAAGTAATTCAATTTGGGTTAGCATTATCAGTATTAGGTAGCAGTTTGATAGTATGCACCTATGAGCCCTGACTGACCCCCAGGGGCTGATGGGTGGGGCCAAAAAGGGTTGAATTGACTGAAATTTCAAAAATCTTCTTCTCAAGACCCAGATATGGTAGAATCAAATACTCTTCATAGATGGAAGGGTCTTAAGGTGCTTTACCGAAATTGTGAATTTCTTGACCCTGGGGTCTCACGTTTCCCCCTGGGGAGGGGGTAAACTTTACTATAGTTTATATAGGGAAATCACATTTTGGACCAACATTTGTTTAATTTCCATTGGAAGTAATTCAATTTGGGTTAGCATTATCAGTATTAGGTAGCAGTTTGATAGTATGCACCTATGAGCCCTGACTGACCCCCAGGGGCTGATGGGTGGGGCCAAAAAGGGTTGAATTGACTGAAATTTCAAAAATCTTCTTCTCAAGACCCAGATATGGTAGAATCAAATACTCTTCATAGATGGAAGGGTCTTAAGGTGCTTTACCGAAATTGTGAATTTCTTGACCCTGGGGTCTCACGTTTCCCCCTGGGGAGGGGGTAAACTTTACTATAGTTTATATAGGGAAATCACATTTTGGACCAACATTTGTTTAATTTCCATTGGAAGTAATTCAATTTGGGTTAGCATTATCAGTATTAGGTAGCAGTTTGATAATAAGCACATATCAGCCCTGACTGACCCCCAGGGGCTGATGGGTGGGGCCAAAAAGGGTCGAATTTACTGAAATTTCAAAAATCTTCTTCTCAAGACCCAGATATGGTAGAATCAAATACTCTTCATAGATGGAAGGGTCTTAAGGTTTATGACCCTAGGGTCTCACGTTTACCCCCTGGGGAAGGAGGGGGGGGGGACAAAATTTATTATGGTTTATAATGGCAAATGATACTTTGAATATTACATGTTAATAACTTGATTGGAATTATAACCTTGAGTTGACAGTTTGATACTTTGAAAATTTTGAGCCAGCCCTACCCCCAAGGGCTGTAGGGTGGGGCAAAGGAGTCTAAGTGTGCTAAAATTTCTTCATTTTCCTTGTTTAGAATCAAAGGTGCTAGTTTCAAATACTTTTTAGTCTGAAATCTGTATGCTAGATATTGAATAAGGTGGTTTTATTGTTTTTTGTCACTTTGAATAATATTTCTTTTCATGTTAAAAACAAAATCAACTCTCTGTATAAATATATCACATGACCGTTAAGGCCCATGGGCCTTTTGTTTATCTAACATGCCAATCCTATTACTTAACAATTACTATGACATCACATTGGGAATCGTAATTTGCACCTTAGCTCTGTAAATGATACTGTAAAACTGTTCTGATGACGGTTAATTGGCCTAGCTATCCGAAACATGGAAACCAATTAAAACGGAATCCTTGGTGTTGACGCTCAATCACTTACAAAATGTTCTGGTGGTCTTGCACGGATGGATTCCTAATGGAATACACTAGTCCAGCAGAAAAAGTACTGAAAATTCAGGTAGGAATGATAACATCTGACACAAGGTTATTCAGCACTATTTATAGTTAAAATGTTTCGTCACGCTAGGTACGCAGCCTTCAAAACATTGTCATTTAAAGTTGTTGTTTGTAAATAAAACTTTGTGTATGGTGTTTTTTCCAGTTTGATGAGGATAACAATGGTTATGTTACTACTGATGAGCTTGGCAATGTGTTAGAGTCAGCTGGAATGAAAATGCCAGGTTACAAAATTCGGAAACTAGTGGAAGACTTCGACACTAAAACCAAGGATGGAAAAATTCAATTTGATGAGTTCATAAAAGTAAGTATGCACACGTTGGTAGATAGATACATACTTCAAGCATATTACGATACATCTAATACATGTATATACAGCACAATTATAAATTCGCACATCAACACTTTGTCAGCTCAGAGAAATATCAAGGTTTTTTGAGAAACCAGACCTTTGGGAGAAATGTTCACATTCAATGGTAAACTGTTCAAATGTTCAAATTTAATGGTAAACTGGAATGGACTATTGAATAATTTTTATCACGTTATAATTTGTTTCTGTTAAAATGGATTTACTGAATTGTAATAATACTCAATCTTTTCCCTCCAATTTTCAGCTATTTGAGCATTTAAAATCCACTACTGATATCGGTGTCAAGTTCAAAAAAGCTGTCAATAAACGCCAGGATTTGCACACACATGGAGGAACATCGGAGGCATCCGTGTCTGGAACCACACACAGTGTCAAACATGCAGAGAATGCTGCCTATGCTGATTGGATTAACAGGTCAGCCTTCATTGCCATAGGATTTCACTGTAACTTACATAGAGGATCTGACATAAGATTCCCTTCATATAATATTTATGATACAAGTTTTCCTGTTTTCGAGCTTCTGGTGAGATAATATGAAAATCCAAAAAGAGTATTATAAATCTAATATGAAGGGAAACGAATGACAGATTCTTTTTATCATATAAAACAAAATAAACTGTATAATTGTGATCTGAAACGAATATTTTGCACTTTGCCGCCTCTGAAACAATGAACATTGCGTCTGCTTCACAATGACGTGATGTCACATTGATTGTTCCTATTCAATTGTGACGTCATTTCCAGAGTGATATTACACATGTTGCGTAAACATTATTTATGTGATGGCTTTATGACTCTGTATAACATGGTATTCATATGATAAATCTCATTATGATGAAAAAATATGATAATAATGCTGGCTGAAATAGGCAACACTCTGTGGCTTTGTGCAGGGGAAATATTCAGAGCTTGTTGGTTTGTCTGGCTGAAAAAGGCCACAATCTGTTAGTTAATTCAGGGTGAAAATGGCTGTTTGGATCTGTTGATTTCTCTGGTTGAAATAAGACACGGCCTATTAGTTTATATAGGGGAAATAGTCAGATCTTGTTGGTAAGTTTGGGAGAAATAGAACACAACCTGTTAGCTTATGCAGGGGAAATAGTCAGAGCTTGTTGGTTAGTTTGGGAGAAATAGAACACAACCTGTAAGCTTATGTAGGGGAAATAGTCAGAGCTTGTTGGTTAGTTTTGGAGAAATAGAACACAACCTGTTAGCTTATGTAGGGGAAATAGTCAGATCTTGTTGGTTAGTTTGGGAGAAATAGAACACAACCTGTTAGCTTATGCAGGGGAAGTGGTCTGATCAATTTAGTTTTTTGGGGATCTGTTGATTTGTGTTAGGGGAAACTTAACATCAAAATTATCTTCAAAATTCTAGGGGTTACGCTAACTTGCATTCTCTGCACCCCTGAAATAGGTCATTTCGAAGTCGAAGGTAGTGGATAGCTATTTGATTGGTTCAAATGAAAAATATCCAGACCAATGGCTATGCTGATAACTTACCTTTGTAGATATAAGGAGTGACACCAGACTTTATAGCCAGTCAATTATGCTGTTACAATGCCTTGCAATTCTTTGATTTTGCAGATCATGATGGCATATACAATGCCTTAAATTTTGTCATGACATATTACAAGGTTACAGAGATAGTAAGAAAGTATTACCCTTGGATTTTGACATAGAAGGATATAGGAAATTACCAGTTAGTTCGTCTATCGGAAATAGGCTAGAACTTGTTGGTTTGTCTGGGGTGATTTAACTGTAGGCGAGAACCTGTTGGGTTATCCATAGGTACATATCCAAACTGACAAAAATATTACTTATATAGTAAATATAAAGCAAATATATAGTAAGGAATGGGCTATCAACATCAAATGGCTTCAGACAATGGCAAACAGATGCCCACTTATAGACAATCTATTAAAGCTGAAGGATAAATAGAAAGTAAGGAAAAGTGGGAGGTGGGCTTATTACCAGGCATGGGTGTATCACCGGTAAAATACTGTATATTCATTTTAATAAAAATTGTATGCTCCATTCTCTTTGTTAAAATTTAGCTGATTTTGCTTAGTCTAGAAAACTACACATGTCAGGAATATGAAAGCAAACCTGCATGAGTTCAGCACCAAAAAATAGTTTCAATGAAATGACCATGCTGTATCAATGTAAGGAGTTCTTATACATGTACATTAGTTTTTCTACAAAACTTTTATCAGTTTGTGTACATGGGTACCTAGACCAGCCTCAAGCGCCATAAGCTTTGTTCTATCTAAAACGCTTCACAGCATATCATCTGTATTAATTCTGCCTTTTTTGTTAACCAAAGGAAACTAATGGATGACAAAGATCTCAAGGATTATGGTCTCCCCTTAACTCAAGATAATCTATTCAAAAAGACCCAGGATGGTGTGATTTTATGGTAAGTAAAAAGCAAGGGACTATGAGGATAATAACATTTGAGTTATGATAGAAAACGTGGTGTAACTTTGACCAGCTGTAAGGACTAAAAGACATGATAAACATTTCAATGTAGCGTGAGCTTCGAAAATAATTATTTTTTCATCTGCTTCATGGAAACCAGCTATAATCAGTGTAAGTACACTTTATCTTTGAATGGGCCTGGTAAGGTCTGGGAGGTGGTCTATATAGTTTTAATTCCTCCTGAAAAAGGGGGAGGAGTAGTGCTAATTTACGACGAATACATGTTCAGTGTCACATGTTTATAGCTCACCTGAGACAAAAAAAAAAATTAAGCCGCTCTTGAGAGAACGAAATGACGGACCCACTTCTGTTCGGGGTGCGTGCGCATAATTCAGTATTGCATGTATCCGCTATATAGTTGCGTTATCCTAAATAGAAAGTAGAATCTCTGACACTCACCTGTGGGTTACATAAAGTCTTCTGATACTCTTCTCCAAATAATAATCCATACTTTAAATAATTGCTGAAAACAAAATGTTTATCTCCGGTGCATTCTACGAGTGTTGTGGTGGTGAAATTCGTGCACTAGGTTAGAGCGTTTTAGCAACTCGGATTGCGGTCTGGGGAGTGTTACACGTGTGAAACACATGATTCGAGAAAGCACATGTGGAGACTGTCAAGCATTGACGCTGTCTGTAGAAGGAAGAAGTAAATATATAAACTTATAAACCGTATGAGTGATGAAGTATAAACTCTATTTTGATGTTTGAAATGGTAACGTATATATACCATATCGTGCTTAGGTTGATAACGGTAGACTAATGGCTCCGAGACGAGACGATATGTGAACTGTGTATGCTTATCAAACATTTTTGTAACACAGCATGCTATTTCTGGTGTATTTATTTATGAAAGTGTAACAATTTAAGAACATGACACAACTGCCGCTGCTGTTTGACAAGAATTCGCGCCGTGTCAAAATAGTATCCAATTGGGTGTAAGGGAAATAACTCTTACGTTGGTAAAGTCGCATTGGGAAATATAATTCAAATATATTCCAAGAACATTTGTGAGATTTTGTATATTCAATGACGGTAAATATAGTCGCTACAAATATTAATAATTTTCACTAATATGAATAAAAAATAAATAAAAATAAAAGGAGTACAATGTCTCTTTTCTCCATGCATGTTTTCCCACTACTGTTAATTATCCTTCATTTCACAAGCAAAAAATGCACCTATTCTTTATTATCCATTCACCGATTGCCATTCTGCACGTAAACGCTCATGTCACATCATTGGAGGATGCTAATTAATGAAAATTACAACAATGCGTCACACTTAAAGAGGGTGAAAAAAGAGGAGAGGGAGAAATGTTTTTAAGGCATCATTTAAGAGGTGATTGATTTTGAAAATCCTAAACGCAACATCATCAGATGACCTGATTTTCAATTAGCAGAATACAGAACACATATCTGAGTTATTATAGTAGATTTTTATGCTCAACGTGTCACTGAAGCAATTAAATTTAAAGTGGTGAGCGGCTGTAATGTCACACTGACATAATTCTAGTTTGGTTTTGTTATTGTCTAATTTCCCATCTATTATTTGACAAATTGGTCATCAGAAGTTGTAATATACTTTTTTATCCTAATTGGATTTGATCTTTCCCTTCAAACGTTGATTGTGATTTCATAACTTATCGTTTTCCATGCATCATTGTTTTGAGTTAACCCTGAACTAGACATAGAAGGGGAGACAATTCTGTGAAAGGTGTGAGAAATTGAAATCAAGTTGATTATTTGTAAAATTCAGTCTATAAGAATACATTTTTTGTTTCTGATTTTAGCAAGTTGATCAACAATGCTGTTGAAGAAACAATTGATGAGCGCACAATAAATAAAACGAAGCTGAATGCATACACTCGGACAGAAAACCAGAACCTTGTCATCAGCTCTGCCCAGGCCATCGGCTGTACCGTAGTCAACATTGGCCCAACTGATATAGAGAATGGAGAGAAAAACCCACATCTTATCCTTGGTATGCTGTGGCAGATAATCCGGGTGAGTCACTAGAAGTAGTTATATTTGACCTGGCGACAACCTACTTATAATGGTAGCTGGGGGCTCTGTTTTTAGCTCATCTGGTGTGAGGCGTTGAGCTTATGCAATTAATTATACATTGTCCGATGGACATGCCATGACAAAATGTCTGTCATTTGCGCATGTCATCCACTTTTATTTTTTAAATGACTTGTTTTAAAGGAACGTGAAGCCAAAGGTCATAATACATGGCATGTAGTTGGCTTAAGTGAAGGGCCATCAATTTTGATCAAACGAATTGCCTTGAACTAGTTTTCCATGAACAGGTTAAAAAATGTTGAAATCTTACTTCTCAAGAACTACAAGGCCAGGAGTATGGATATTTGCATTTAGCTTGCAGAGGTGAAGATCTATTAGTGTTAAGGTTGTTCAATTGAATTGCCTAGATCTACATTTAGTTTCAAGGTCACAGTGGTCGAATATGTGAAATAGCATCTTCAAACAACGACTTCTTATGAAGCATGAGGCCTAGAGTAATTATACTTGTCATGTAGTTTTCTGAGTTGGACAGTCTAGTTTGTGCAAATAAATGTCCTTGACCTACATTCAAGGTCTTAGATTTAATGTGTTGGAACCTTCTAATGTACATGGGGTCAAGAATAATGGCATTTAGCCTTTTGTTAGCTAGGGCAAATGGCTATCAAGAGTGCTCAAAGGAAATACCTTGACCTTCATATCAGATGACTGATGTCAAATGTGAAACTTTTCAAACCACTTAATAACTGCTCCATAGCCATGAGGTCTACAGTACTGTTTTTTGGCTTGTAACTTATCTATTACCAGCTGTAGCTGGGCAAGAACAAGTTATCTCAATAGAGGGCTTAGATTCTGTAGCATAATCCCAACCGATGTGGAAGCCTGAATTTGGATTTTACAGAACTTTAGCCCTCGACTGAGATAACCAGATGATGCTCAGTTACAAGGCAATACCTATTTTACTCACACCTTTTAGTTTGAAATACTATTCATTTTTCATATAGTCTACAAATACTCCTTCGAGGCCTCAAATAAAGATGGCCTTTTCACTGCTAAGGCTTCATTTGAATGCTTCCGCTTAAACAAATTAGTCCGTCGTTACAAATTAGAAAACACATTTCACAGTGTAGATTATATTTTAAAATTGTGAATCTAACAACATCAAAACAATACATTCAAGGACAAAACAGAACAATTTTTGTTTTACATGTGTATCACTGCATTAGCACGGATGAATACAAGCTGCGTGAAATTCTAAAAATCTAACTGGAAATCCCTATTCGAGTTTGAGAAATACAGGGTTTCCTCAGTCTATCCATGCGTTTCTTGTAAAATTTATTTTAGAGATAAACACTATTATATATAGAAATAGCATTCCATTAATCGCGAATTTCATCATAGCTCACCAAATCAACGTCATATCAAAATAAAAAGATTTACAGAAGCGATTGGCTGTGAGTAGTTTTGTGATAAATATTTATCCCTGTTGTAGATTGGTCTGCTGAGTGAGGTGAATATTGTGGATCACCCCAACTTGGCAGTTCTCTTGGAGGAAGGTGAGTCTGTGGAAGACTTGCTGAGGTTGAGTCCAGAACAGATTCTTATTCGCTGGGTCAACTACCAGCTTAAAAAATCAGAAACAGACAGGCGTGTGTCAAACTTCACGGAAGATATCAAGGTAAGAACACCCAAGTCATAAATCAAAGCCATTATTATGTTAAAACTGTCCACCCACCCTTCTTGACAAGGCAGTGTCAACTGTCTCTCTCAGGTCTTTATATGATCAAAGGTGAAGGCCACGGCAGGGGTCAAATAATGTCAGATCATTTTGTACAAGTGATAAGTCTAATTGAAGGAAAATCATTTTAACCCTTGCAAACAACAATAAGTGTTTGTGTGGGTGGGAGAGGGGGTGGGTGTGGGTGGGAGAGGGGATATGGGTGTGGTGTGTGTGGTGTGGTGAGGATATAGCCTTGTCCTCTTCCATTTGACACAGGAGTATAAAATGTCTGCATATAAACAGGATTTAATATAATTGAAGATAAAATTACCCTTTTTATGTCTTCACATTTTTGCATCACATCATCATATTTTAACAAGAAATCAACTTTTTTCTCATTGTTTTGACAATCTTTAGGATTTTGGATTAAAAGACAGATGACTTGCCCAAGGCTCAATCCTCGATACCCCAGGGGTTACGCTCACTTTTGATCTGTGCACCCCTGGAAAATGTCATAGAAAAATTGAAGGCACATGGCTAGCTATTTGATTGGTCTCGGTTAAAAAATCACCTGACCAATAGCTAGGTTTGTACCTGTCTCTTAAAGATTATAGAGGAGCGCCACCCATCTACCAAGCTGGTCAATTTTAATGCTACATATATGCGGGATTTGTTTGATGTGCATCTTATCTTATCTTTGTGTCATCCACAAGGTTGCACACATGTGCACTAAGCCTTAAATTTTGTCATGATATATTCCAGGGGTGTAGAGAGCATAGGTGAGCGTAACCCCCAGAGAATCAAGGATGCCAAGCTTCTTAATGTTGGTCTTCCTGTAATTTGGCCAATAGAATTTAGTATATGTACTTAACCCATTCACCCCTGAAGTCACATTTGAACTCCTCCGATTCAAAGGTTAGAATAGTTCATTATGAATTGTCAGGGGTGAATGAGTTAATTTGAGTTATATTAAATACCTTTAGGTGACCTCGCATTCAATGTACAAAGTTTTATTGGAAAAAAGTTTGAATGATTTTACTTTTCTTCCCAAATGAACTGAACTATAAATGGAATTTAATTGGGATTTCTTTTACTATAATTAACTGTGATGAAAAGTATGGGTACCTCTGCTGGTAAAATAAATATAAGGATTAAACAGCATTTTTCCATTGTTCATACCAGATGATACATATATTTCCATTAAAAAATTCAAAGTTATTATTGATCAAAAGATAAGTATTCCCTTTTATTTTCGATATTTAATCAACAGTATTTATCCATTGTTCGTACCAGATGAACATTAAAAATGCTGTTCAGTACATAAATTTCCATACAAAAATTCAAACTTATTATTGTCACCAAAATGTAGGCTTTTAATGATAGTGCTAGATTATTTGAGGGGGGAGCAGAGTCTTCAAAATGACATTGATCTTATTGGATTCATAGCCCTATGACAGCAATCTTTTCCTGTAGTGCTTTTAGAGAAATTTGCAGTCATAATGTAAAAACATAAATGTAAAAAACAAAGTTTGTTCATTATGTATTATGTCTTAATTATTGTATCATGTTGAAATAATTTACGTGATGTTTCTTTCTCCTTTCAGGACTCTGAAGCGTATACTTACCTACTGCACCAAATTGCGCCTCCTGATAGAGAAGTTTCAACAATGGCCATCCATGTAAGTGCCAACAATGACAATTACATCTTAGTAGGCATTTTATGCCTTTTCACCCAAAAATTGATAGTACTGTATAGTTGTTTAAATTCACGGTGTCTTGATCAGAGGCAGTTCGCCGGTTTATATTTCACACATTATGGCTAGATAAAAAGATTCCATTCACTTTGGTACTTTTGTTCTTGGATTATGGGATGCAAGTGTTTTAAAAAAATGTAATATTGAATTTTTGTTTTATCTTTATCATTTGGCAGTTGAAGGGTAATTATATAAACAGACCTTTTATTTTGTGCCTGTAATATATATCTTCAGGGATATTATACGCTATCTTTGGTGGTCGCAAATATAGTAAATTAAATTCCCCATGAATGTTAATAACTATACATTACTTTCTGACAAACTTACATGAGAAAAGTAATGTTATAACTTGGAGACAATAGAATGTTTGGTGTACTGTGTTACGATAATTATAATCTTGAGTTCATTTCTATTTGATACAATTGCAAGATCTATGAAAAACAACCCATTTCATGTGCATGACATCACAATTGGACAGGAATGACGTGAAGTCAAAAAATCAAAAACATTACTATGCCGGGATGCGGAAGTTGCAACACTTTTATTGTGGTTTTGAGATCTTCCTTGTCTCTTCCGACTATCCTTTCTAAGGAAGTGCTGACATTTTAGTTTGGTCCTTGCTTGGTAACGAGTATGGGTCTCGCTGGGTATTAAAAGCGTATTACCCAAAGAACCGGTTACCATTTGTTCAACGTGTGCGCAAGGTGACACTACTATACTAAGACTTTCACGATTTTTTACCGACATTTTGTATCAGATCAGTTGCATAAAATTAAAATGAAACACATAAAAGTAAGCATTAATCTAAGAAAAGTGGAAATATTTGTAAACCACGACCAATTAAAATTTAATGCAAAATTCATGTCCCCCCCCCCCAGAACAGTCTCTGGTTACCAGGGCTAACAGAGACTGTTCTGGTGATTTAAAATGAGCTAAAAAATCCTTGATCATTATATTGAAAAAGTGAATCTTTTACCTGTAAAGAATAGACTATTATAGAAGAAAGTCCATTCTTTAAGGATAAATTAAAACAGGCTGTACCCTATCTATCGGAACAGATACAAAACTGATTTGTCGTTTCTTTTTCTCATTTGTATAGATATCGGACCCTAATCAACGTGCAGAGGCCATGTTACAGGAGGCAGATAAGATGGGATGCAGGAGTTTCATAGGACCAGCGGAGGTGGTTGGCGGTCATCAAAAGCTCAACCTTGCCTTTGTCGCTAACTTGTTCAACACCTACCCAGCTCTTGAACAAGCAGCAGTCGAGCCAATTGAGCAACAGTATGAAGAAACGCGAGAGGAAAAAAGTAATTATTTACGTGATCAGAAGTCAGTAATCAAAATTGTATGATTTTAACAACCTGTAACTGGAAGTAAGCAGGGAATATAATAATATCACCTGGGCAAAAAACTGTTGTTTGAGATTGTGTCTATGTTATGAGGCAGTATTGAGCAGTAGCTAATACTTGAAACAACTTCATCTGCAAAATTCTAGGGGTTATGCTAACTTTCGTTCTCTGCACCACTAGAATATATGACGACAAAGTTAGCTATTTGATTGGTTTGGGGTGATAAAACCCTCGCCAATCGCTACGCTAGCACTAAGCCTTTAAAGATTACAGAGGAGCCACACCCGGCTTTAAAACCAGTCAACGTTACTGGTATGCTCTGTAGGATTCTTTTCACATACATCAAAGGATCAAACTATTATTCTTGTATCATCCCTAAGGTGGTGCATACAGAGCTTTTATTTCTGTCGGGGGATATTCCAGTAGTGGAGAGAATTAAGAGAGGGTCAGCCTGGAATTTGAGGATGAACAACTTCTAAAGAACCGTAAAACTAAGAGCAATGATATACGCCTGTCCATGAAAGCTTATCAAGATTGTTTGTTAAAATGAAGAACTTTTCTGCCAATACTTTCAAGGTCATATGGGGTCAAGTGCATGCAAAAAAACCTTCTAAAAACCAATGATGGCTTAAGTGATAATTCTTTTTCTGCAGTTGGGGTATCAAGCTATCAGTCTAGTGCAAAATGATGACATGTTCCTTCTTCAAGGTCAAAAGGGTTGAACATTTCTCAAACTAACTTTTTGAAGGGGAGGATATTTTGGTTTTGGCTTTCTCAGGTGAAGGACGACCAAAGAGGCAAATTTTAAGGTCAAAATGTTCAATGTTCAACATTGGTGAGTCGAAGTCTCAATGTTTTGAATTTTCCCCCGATGGCCCAGCATAGTTTGAAACATCAAAGTATGACTGTATAGGGGTGGAAGGGTTCAATGAAAGTAATGCCTGATGTTTGTAAGAACAGTAAAATTTACATGCTAGACTATCTATGTCACATTGTCTTGTGGGCACTATTGTAGACATGAAAAGACTTTCAATTTTGATTTCACATTGTAGAAAAGATATATTCAACATATGAATTGTTTGTATATTAGGATGGAATATGTATACAAGACTCGGGATTCAAAAAATTTGGAAATTTATTAACTAAGTAGAGGCGGCTCTCGTCAATTATATTTTTTTCAACATTTTCACTCCTAGCATGTATATTCAACCATTGTTCATGCATATATTATGTTGATTATTTTTCAATATTTATCTATAGACAGTTGAAGATATGTGGAACATATATAAATGTTATCTATTTTGAATGTCTTTTCCAGCGTACCGTAACTGGATGAACAGTCTTGGAGTGGATCCGTTTGTACATAGACTGTACAGTGACTTGAGTAGTGGTCTAGTCCTGTTCCAGCTGTATGACGCTATCAGCCCAAACACTGTGGATTGGACCAAGGTTCATAAGAAGTTCTCCAAACTGAAAGCCAACTTTGAAAGAATAGGTATGGTTGACCCACTTGGTCGCATTGGTTACCGAGAGAAATTGAGTATTTAGAGGCACGGTAGTCTAGTGGTAGGACGCCGGGCTCGTGACCGAAGAGTTGCTGGTTTGAGTCACTTCACGGCCCTGTGGTGTATCTTTGAACAAGATACCTTACTCCGCAATGTCAGCTGTGAGCGCCTAGATGGCTGCACCGACTAGATGCTCCCCAGGGAGTTGAGAAAGATATTGGCTGATTGCAAAGGCCCTATAACCACGGATAATAATTTGCGAACCACTTTGAGAGGACCTACAACCTAGGTTGTGATAAAGTGATACATACACACCTTGAGTAAGTTTAAGGGTCCTAGTAAAAACAGTAGCATTTCAGGAGACACATACTCTTTGGAATAAAAAAAACTGCCTGTAACTTTATTTATGGTGCGGTTATATTCGCTTTCTGTTTCTTTAGTTAAATCAAGTTTTATTAGCATTGTATATTTTTTATCGTAGACTACAATTTTGACGAAGTGGTTTTGAAATGTTAAGTAATATATTCTTAAGATAAGTACCATACTTTTGGCATGTTTTTTGCTCAAAATGTGGTGGTTAAATGTTGGTGCTTCAAATTATGGCCTTTTAACAATCTTGTGTGCTAAATTTTGGTGCATCCAATGTCTATAGTTAAATAGTGGCATTATCAGTCCGTTGCATTACCGTATTAGTGCTGCTAAATGACAGGACTTTATCTTTTGTTTACATAGATATTCACTGAAAACATGTCAGTATGGTACGAGTTGTTTTCAGACTTCATAAATATACAACCTATTGTATTATGTTTCAACTTGCTGCACAGGAGAGGGGCTGCTGTGTCCGAGTGGTTAAGGCGTTTGACCTTCTGGTACCACTAGCCCTCCACCACTGGGTCGCTCTGGCCGAGTGGTTAAGGCGTTTGACCTTCTGGTACCACTAGCCCTCCACCACTGGGTCGCGGGTTAGAGACCTACGTGGGCCAGTCGCCAGGTACTGGCTGTAGGTCGGTGGTTTTTATTTCCGGCTTTCCTCCACCACCAAAACCTGGCACGTCCTTAAATGACCAAAGCTGTTAATAGGAAATAAAACACAAACAAACCAAACCAAACAGCTGAACAGGAGAGCATATATTTCATAAGATCTTTTACTGGTGTACGGGAGTCACTCTATAGCGATGGGATTTTCCTGTATACACTTGAACAACCAATACAACAACAAATATGAAAACACTGAAAACCTATGACACCTTTAGATGAAAACATCCCTTTATTGACATATTATTTATAAAATCTGTCATTCCTGCCCGAAACTTAGCAATTCTAAGTAACGCTTGCATGAAAAAATAGCCTACTTGTAACAATAAATTTAACTCGTTTGTAGTTGACTTGTTTTTGACTATTTTCCCTTTTTTTACTTCACAGAAAATTGCAATTATGCTGTAGAACTTGGATGCAAGTGTCGCTTTTCACTGGTCGGAATTGGAGGTGAAGATCTTCACGCGGAAAATCGCACTTTGACACTTGGTAAGTGGTTTTTGGATCTTGAATGAATTCATGTCCATATCATTCCGAAGTGACAACTTAAGTTTCATAAATCTGATATGAAATAGAATCTCATTCAAATAGAATTCAAATGAATTGATTGGGAAAGTAAAAAAACTAAATTGGCTGACAAACTATGTCTCCAGCAAACATAATGAGAAAATAACTTTTCAAGACCTGTGAAAGTGGCGTGACTCTCTACTGTAAGAACCAGCTGGTTTAGCAGCACATTTGTAGGATCACCACCTATAGGATATATTACTCGGTGTTTCAGCTCTAGTTTGGCAGCTGATGCGTGCCTACACCCTGGCTCTGCTTAGTAGACTGAAGGACATGCAAGAAGGTCAGACAATCACTGATTCACAAATTGTAACTTGGGCAAATGATAAGGTAAGTTCTCTGAAGATATTACAAACGTTGCCTGTGACAGAGGATTTTCTCTATCTTCCAAACGTTTTACTTTTTATACAGCTTGGTAATATTTTAATTATTTGGTAAGTGATGGAGTCCTGTTAGTGTTTTTCGAAAAAATAAAAATAGAATTAACGTTTCAAAATACAGTTTTTGTCAAAATCTGTTGCCATTACAATTTTGTTTTTCCAAAATAATTAACTCATTCACCCCTGAAATTCCAAAATGAACTATACCAACCTTTGAATTGGAAGAGTTCAAATGTGTCTTCAGGGATGAATGAGTTAACTGACTATGTTCTCGTGTGCAGTGCACTGGAATTAGGTCACTGTGACCTTCACTTCAAGGTCAAAGGTCAAATAAGTGCAACATTTTCAGTAAATTCTTGTCCGGCCTGTACATTTTAAACCATTAAAGATATATTGATCAAACTTGAAGTATACCTGCATCACCCACAGAAGGTGTGCAGTGCACTGGAATTAGGTCTCACACTTCACTATATACAGAGTTATGGCCCTTTGTTTAATTTTAATACCGAAGTATGTCCGGAGTATAAGTTCCTGTTATTTCACCTATGTTGACCAAACTTACCATATTTATGTATCTTGGGAAGGTGGAATCTCTCCCACTAAAATCAGGTTTTATGCCCCTCTATATGCAGAGTTATATCCCTTTGTTTATTTTTAAAACAGAAGTTTTGTCCATGGCAAAACTTCCATGTTACTTCACCTACGTTGACCAAACTTGCTATAGTTTTAATGTATCTAGGGAAGTAGGAGTGTCACATTCTAAATTCGGGACTCATGCCCCACTATATTAAGAGATATGGCCCTTTGTTATTTTTTTATACCGAAGTTTGTCTATTGGCTAATAAGGGGAGAGATATGTTTTTGTTCACAAAAACAAAACTCTAGTTTTTATTTGAAATCGATATATCTTTAGTAATATTACAGTGTAAGAAATTAATATTTAAAATGAAGAATTTTGTATATTACCTCTATATTGTATTATTTGTGACAGATGAGTGCAGAAGGCAAGAAGAGCCACGTGAGGAGCTTTAATGACCAAGCTCTCTCTAATGGCAGGATAGTCCTAGACCTGATCGATTCCATCAAACCTGGCTCCATCAAGTGGGACATTGTAAAAGAAGGAGAGGAGGATGAGGTTTGTAAATACAAAATTAATGAAGATTTTGTACACATTGGTAAAAAATAAATAAAAAATATGACCAATATATTATTCCGAAACATATTCGAGATAAATAGTCAGGATTCTGTTCATTTAAGAGAGAGAGTCCAACACTTTAAAGTTTTGAAAAATTGTTTTTAAGGATCCCTGTTCCACTGCCAAAATATGTTACTATTCGTTCAAAAGTTTTTTCCAGCATGACACTTGCTTTGACGAATCATTTCTGAAAAGAAAACTATAGTATACCTTGCTAAAAGTTTATTTCATAAAGATGAAATAAACAAGGAAGAAACAACAAGTGTTCTGAGGGTAAAAATGCTACAAGGCCAGACCAGGCTTTGAACCTTGAACCTGAGCTACCTAGCCCAGTTGTGCTACAGTTTTCATCCAAAATGAAATTATGGGGAGGTTACTCTATGTGCGAAAACTGCAGTGGAGCTCTCTAGTATTCTGCCTGCAATGTGACAGGGATCCTTAAGAACCTTTTTTTTTTTTTCCATACGTTTACAAAATCCATTTACTCGTGTTGCAGGATAAGAAGCTTAATTGCAAGTATGCCATCTCCATGGCCCGCAAAATTGGTGCAAGGGTGTATGCATTGCCAGAGGATATCCTTGAAGTGAAACCCAAAATGATTCTGACAATATTTGCCTGTCTCATGATCAAAGACCTTACATCATAGACGGGTCGAACAAAGACCAGAGAGACATTGTAACCATGGAAACCCTTTTAACTCCAAGACGATTCCATCTTGTATTCATATGCAACACTTGGACCATTCATCCCGAGACGTCCAGGACTGGATATCTTGGAAGCATTGGATTTGACACTTTATCTTAATGTAGCTCGGCAGCAGATTGGTATTTTGATTATACATCTCCTGAAGACAACCTGATGTGACCAGCCTGAGGAGCTATACCTGAGAATTTATCCGAGGTACTCCTTGGCTAGATAAACTGACTCAATTGTGGAGGGTACAAAGACACTTGGTGTGACTGATGTTATTGATCTGTGAATGTAGACTGGAAAAATAAAACTTTTCAAATGTTATACTTTAGATATTTTACTATAACATGAAGCATGAAGTCTGCAAAAATAACATCTAAGTGAAAAATTGTTATGCCATTTAAGAAAGACCATGCAATTTATGTAGTTAATGGGTGGAAAATGTTTATTTCATAAAGTCCCACAAATAGCCTTGTTGTCAGACAATCTGTATGGTAGAAATTATATATAATAATACAGACTTCTGGTAATTCTGCAGTTATACAGTTTATCATACATTTCTAAAAAAAAACTTTACATGTACAAAAACCTTTAGAACTGCTAACTCTAGAGACAGCCTCGTCATAGCAATGACTGCTGAAGAAAGTTGTTAGAAGCCATCTCAAATATTTGATGCTGCATAAATTGTTGTTTAACTCATTCACCCCTACATATTTAAGTTGACTTACCCATTCTTTGATTTGTTAAGATTCAAATGTGACTTCAGGGGTGAATGGTTTAAAGGCATTTCAAAAATTGAAACTCTAGAACAGTTGGACCAATTATCTTCAATTTAGAATGATCATCATGTGCAGGTTTTGTAATAGGGATGCGATGGCACTTTTTCATCAGAGTTTGATTTATCAATTTCAGGAAGATGTCTAATTACATATCAGTCGGTCAGTCTGCAAAGTGTAGCATGGGTTTAACTTCCTAAAGTCCTCATCATGTGGAGAATAATACTTTTTCGTATCAAAGAGAAACATGTAGCTCGACATATGATCATTACATAAGCAGATGAAAATACATGCTCCAAACAATAGGGATGTGTTTTTTATTTGTTTTGAACAAATGGAAAAAATGATTTAAGAAAATTGTTTTGCTTTTCATGTGGTACATATCATTCTGTAAACAAATCCCTATTTAATGTAATAATAGTACATAATGGCCATTCTTCTGATGGAATTAACAATGTAATAATAGTACATACTGGCCATTCTTCTAATGGAATTAACAATGTAATAATAGTATATACTGGCCATTTTTCTGATGGAATTAACGTCTGGATTATGTTGGGGTTCTTTTTTTTGAAAAGTGATTTCTCGCTATTTTTCGTGGGGTTTTTGATTTTGTTAATTTTCCTGGGCACTTTTCAGCCAGGAATTTATAGGTCCTTGAAGTAATAACAGTTTGACATAAAGCTTTTCCCAGTATGAGCGAATACAAACTCATGTACCCATGAAATGGTGTTTTTTTTTAGGAAACGAGGAAATTTGATCCCCACGGAAAAATCTAATTTTACAGTACTGGAAGTCTATATTTTTGATATTATCTTAAATTGGAAACTTATTCAGTAGATTTTTTTTCTTTGAAAACTGATAAATGGAACTCTATTTTATGGAGTTTACATAACTTGGACACTTTTTCTGTAATTTTTTTAGCTTGTTCCTACAACATCAGACATAGAACAGTGAAGAGGATTATGTACTGATCCGTGCTGACAAATACCTCTGTGATATAAAAGCCATGTACAGCCTCTGTATCCGCTGTGTGTTACCAATGTAATGTATCATTGTGTTACCATGTAACCCTATATAACTTGTTCATAAACTTACTAACTCATCAAAGGTTCCGAGAGACGTGTGATGAAACCTATTATACGTTATTATTAGGTCATCCTTGATATTTCAGGTGTTGTGCTCTATTGCATTCTCTGTACCTCTGTAATCTATTGCGACAAAGTCAAACGTTTTGTACGTGCCGTGTTGATGATAAAAGCTAACTCGCTGATTCTTCGTTGTGCACAAATAGAATTGAGTAGTAGCGTAATGGTTAAACTGACTGCGACTAGTTTGATTATTTTATGTACGCCACAGCATAACGGTAAAATTGACCAAGTTGGATGTCGATTCTTTGTACCGGTAATCTTCAACGGACAGGTATCATCCTAGCACCATGCCTCTGATTTTGTCAGTATGTTGCAGGAGTGAAGAGAACACCAGAAAGCATAACCCCTAGTTATTTATAATTGGTTAGACATTTGTTGTTGATATACAAAAACAGTTATTTGTCTATTGTCAATAGATTTGTCTCCTTTTTGTAATTTGGACCAAGTGTGAATGTATTTGTGATAAATGCATGGACCAAGTATGATGCATTTTTGGACCAATAGTCTGTTTGTAAGGGAAGATGCACAATATGTGAATGGTTTAAAGTGGCGAGTGGGATCTTTTCTGTAAATATCAAAAGCGTCCAGAATTTGACACTGCAAGGAAATGAAACATTTTGTGGACCAAGATTAAAGGCAATTATATTTGAAGGTGTTTGGATTTTAAATTGAGTTAAGGATCATTTCTAATGAATGTTGGCTTTCGAACAAAGCAACTTAAAATACATTACGTAGAATAAATAATGTTAATACTGCATCCCATGGTCTTGTTGGAGACCAAGTCTTCTTGAAGACATGAAAAAGGGTGCACATTGTTGAATATTAACTCATTCACCCCTTCATGTTTAAAGTGGATTTGCCCAGTCTTTGATTTGGTAAGGTTCAAATTTGACTTCAGGGGTGAATGGGTTAAACAAATATATACATTACCAAATATGAGTCCTGACACCTAATGGTAACTTGAGGAAGGGGACCATGATTTTGACCAAGATATAAAATTAACAGTTGCCAGTATTTATGCAAATAGTTATTATTCACATAATATAGTTTATACTTCCATAATCTGTTGACTAGTGCAAAAATATTATTTTTATACGCTTGTTATCTTAATAAAGCTGATTTGCGATTTATTGTTCTATAATTTTTTTTCCTTATTCAAAGCTATTTTTTGGCTGGTCTTTTAGCTTTGTTGGGAATTTTTCTACCTGTTGATGAGATTTTTTCTTTCTTTAAGCTACATATCTATTATAACTATACTGGACAGTTTTTTCTGTTGCTTGGTTCTGATTTTGTTATTTATTCAATATTCAGTATGGCTATTTACTGCTGAAAACATGAGCTCAGAGATTGCCATATTTCGTCCGGATCTCTTGTCTAGCAGCTCTCATGAATATATTAATCCATAAATGAGGCCATTGATGTCCTGCTTAAGATGTTTAACATCCTTACCTTTATTTGTTTTGGACAGATGAGAACATCTTATACCTTTATCCGACTCGTTATTAAATTTTTGCAAGGAAAAAGTTGTGCAAAAAAAATTGTAATCTATATTCAAACAAAATTTGACCCAAATTTAATGATAGTAAAAGTGCTTATGAGGATGTTTCATTGTTAAGGTCCATTAGTGTTATCATCAAGCTATATTTCGTGTTTGAGAGTATAGTGAAACCTGCCTTATCTGAAACCCTTTGAACATGTCATGGTCAGATGTCAGAATACATAAATCTTTTTCTCATTCACCCCTGACGACACATTTGAACTCTTCCAATTCGAAGGTTGGAATAGTTCATTATGAAATTTCAGGGATGAATGAGTTAGAAAACAATTCATAAGAAGTGGGATATCAGTATTCTGTTTGTTTACACAGGATGTCAGAATTCTGCGGGGTCAGATTAGACAGGTTTTACTGTATATAAATGATGATGTTACTTACTAATATTAAGTCAAGGTGCTGGTACATGTTTTCTAAGTGTACTTTATTTTAATTTATCAAACGTTTCAGCATTGTCCCATCTAAGTGTCACTTCAGAAAATTTCCATCATTCCCATTAATCATGCTATTAAAATTGAATCTGAATGCAAGATGTTTTACAAATTGTGGTTTAGCTCTCAACATTATTGTTCATGGGAAAACTGTTGAAATGTTTTTGCTTCATGTAAACCGTTCAATTAATTTAATATTGCTTCTTTGATAATGTTCTATTACGTTGCTGCTGTTCATGATGTAAAAAAGTCCCCATATTTTTTTGGGTTACAGAGCCAGAACATTGCATGTGATTAGTGCGAGGAAAGACCGATAACTAGATATTTAGCAGGCTAATGGAATCATTCTTAGTTCTGTTTCTCAAAATGTGGAAGTTACTCTCATGATCAAATGAAATACAGAGATAGTGTTATTGTAAACAGTATGAATATCTTTGAAATATCACAATACAAAATAATTTCTCTCAATGGGAACATGCTCCCTATTTGAAAATTTTGTGTGTATTGTTTAAATTTATCAACACAGAAGGAAAAAATAAGTGAAAACATATATATTTAACATGCATATATATATATACCTTTTTTGGAAAACATCACATTTGATATATTATTTTGCTCTTTGTATGTATATAAACATATATATAAATATATGATAAATAACACCAATGATTGGTTATATACACAAATACTATTCTTTTATATAATGTTAAGTTTGCCTATACATATGGACCAGCACACGTTGTGTGAAATTTATTGATTTATACAATGTATTGTTTATGCAAAGAAGGAAAACTTATACTTTATTTTAAATTGATTTCAATTATTCCTAATTATATTTACACTATTTAACAGACTTGATAGTTTGTCCTGCTACCTGTATACCTATATCTGTGTCTGTATGGTGTGGCTAGCCGGAGGGACGGGTGACCAGAAACTAGTTGGTATGTGACATGACCGTATAGGTAGTAATTAATCTTTGATAAATAAAACTATATATTCAACAATTTGTATCTGTCTGTGGTCATTATTATCTCCCTTGTTCCTGTAGCAACACATTTGAATTGCAACCAGCAAATACTATTCGGTCTTTGCGTATTGCAGAGTTATCTTCTCTTGTGAGCAGGTATTGATTGTTGTGTTATTTGTTTGCGAGAGTAATGTCATCAATTTTTGAGAAAACGATGTAATTTTCTCACACAAACCAATGACTTAACAATCAATACCTGCTCACAAGAGAAGATAACTCTGCAATACACAAAGACGGAATATACAAGGAACCAGAATTTTTTTTCTGCAGTTTAACTTTTGTCTTTTTCTGGCAGCGAATATTATTACTTATTACATGCATTATCATTAACTGGGAAGCGTGGAATTAATGCTGGGCAAATATGAATTAAACCACCGTGTATATTGATTGAAACAAATTGATGCTCAAAATACTAGTCTAATTGTATAAATCTGCATACAGGTCATGTCATGATAAAAAAATCAACACGAGAATACTAAAATGTGAGCAAAAACCATAATTCAAACTCCTAATGGATGGAAGTTGGGCAAATATTGACACTTTATTAAGTGAATGGTGAACCATTAAAAGGTTTTAATAAAACTTCACAGGTGCATTTCTGTTTATGGTAGGGAAAAGGTAAACCTGATTTAACCTTCCTAGGGAAAGGCAGCTCGCACATGCCGTTCTAAAACCTCGACCATCACTAGTGCAGTGTTACCAGGGTTACGTCATCAATTTGTCATTTGGGAGCCCTTGATGGTGGTGCCATGCATTGGGTTCATCATGACAACTTATCTTTACGATAGAAAAATGTACAAAAAACGATAACCATTCCTGTGATACCGACAAAAAAAATCTCGGAAAGCATTTTAAACTAAAAGATCTTAAGTATTTTCAATTCACAGTATTAGAAATAGACACCATAAGAACTTGAATGCAAAGAGTGAGCATCGGCATAATTTAGTGAATGGTAAGTACTTCAACTAAAACCTTAACCTGCAGGTTTTTGTCAAGACTGTTAAGTTCAAAACGTCAGAAATTCAACCAAAAGAAATGATTGCTGGAACCTAAAGAACCAGTGTTCAAAGTATCTTCATCCTAACAGCACTAGTAAAGGAACAGTGAACTATTAAACAACTTGAACTAAAGCTTGACCAAAGATAAAGGACAGATGGCCCTCCACCCGGATTTCAACTTCTGCCTCATTGCACGACAACACCCACTGTGTAAAACAAACTAGGTCAAATCAAATTAATGTCATGTTCTCAAATTGAGAACCGTGGTAGTGTCGGCGAAATAACAAAGCACAATAATGAGCATAATGAATAAAGCATATCAACGTTCATACCGCAGAAGGAAATGGAACATTCCGATTGAGATCATCACGACGACCATGAACTTGCCCCTAGCCTTCATTTACCTGCAGCTCATAAAACCTTGTGTTGCATTCTTGTTCGTCAAAACTGTAAACAGGTATTACATAAATCTTCAAACTCAAATCAAGAATTTACTCATCATCTGAGTTACCTAAATATTTCTAGAATTAACATTTAAATATATCTTTGATACTCCAGGGGTTGCACTCAATTCCGCTCTCTGCAACTCTGGAATGTGTTATAGCAAAATTGAAGGCACACAGCTAGCTATTTGATTGGTATTCGGGAAAATGAAACCTTACTGATCACTAGGATGACACCTGTCTTTTGAAGATAATAGAGGAGCAACACCCAACTTAAAAGCCAGTTAATTTTACCGTTTGATGTACATCAAAGGATCAAACTTAAATCTTCCTGTCTCATCCACAAGGTGTTTCAGACAGAGCCTTCAATTTTGCTATTACATATTCCAGGAAGTATTGAGGCCGAGGCCTTAAGGCATTTAACCCTGTGACCAAGTTTGAAGAAAATCGGTTAACATTTGTTGTAGTTATTGCACAGAAACGAAGTGTGACAAACAGACAGACGGGACAAACCCAAATTAATATCCCCCGTTTCAGCGGGGGATAAAAATCAAGAGTATTTGGAAAAAACAAAGGCAACAAAATGTACAGTTGAAAATTCTTTAATCTGAATAACAGCATCGATAAAATTGTATTGCTATTATAATGTTTATACATATACATATAAGATTGATGGCCGGAGCTGTTCATCATAGTAAATATATGGGCATTATGACAGGTTAACTACTAATTACTAAATCTTAAGAAAAATCAGCAAGATTTGCATTAAATCTGTAGATGCTTCATCTTGGAATATCCAAAGGCTCAGCTCTCGTTACACATATATTCCCTGCACCCTTTGAATATGTCATAAAGATATAGAGAAATCACCATGGTGATAATTTGCATAAGCTATGTTAACATTTGCGTCGAGTTTGGAGATGAAACGGGAAAACTTGAAATGATAGTATTCAACTTATTTTGGCAAGAACAAATATTTTAGCAAAAATTAATATACCTGATGATTAAATAGCATTATAGATTGATAGGACTCAACTTAATTTGGCAAGAATGATTACTTTTTCGAAAAATAATATACCTGATGATAAAATAGTATTATAAATTGATAGAATTCAACTTAATTTGGCAAGAATGATTACTTCAGCAAAAATAATGTAGTTGATGATAAAATAGTATTATAAATTGATAGAATTCAACTTAATTTGGCAAGAATGATTACTTCAGCAAAAATAATGTAGTTGATGATAAAATAGTATTATAAATTGATAGAATTCAACTTAATTTGGCAAGAATGATTACTTCAGCAAAAATAATGTAGTTGATGATAAAATAGTATTATAAATTGATAGAATTCAACTTAATTTGGCAAGAATGATTACTTCAGCAAAAATAATGTAGTTGATGATAAAATAGTATTATAAATTGATAGAATTCAACTTAATTTGGCAAGAATGATTACTTCAGCAAAAATAATGTAGTTGATGATAAAATAGTATTATAAATTGATAGAATTCAACTTAATTTGGCAAGAATGATTACTTCAGCAAAAATAATGTACAATGTACTTGATGATTAAGTGCCGGGGTTTTCGTGATTGCACCTGATATATAAATTACACATTGGAAGGCAGAGAACTCATTTACATTGTCAACGACACATTTCATATTTTGAAAAATATTTTTTTTTAAAAACCTTCAAAAATGTATATTGTACAGGGATTTTAAAAGACATTATGAAAACAACTTTTGTATAATGATAAGTGCACTGGGGTTTTATATATAAGAAATAAAAGATGTATGACAAATCACAGGGACATAATCTTATCTCAAAAATTGATATGAAAAAATCAGGAAATACGAAAAAAGGGAACTGGAGAGATACCTAAACAAAAGGACAGACACCAATAGAAACTGAAGGGGAAACCAGCACAAAAGTCAACAACAGGAACTGAGGGGAAACCAGCACAAAAGTCAACAACAGGAACTGAGGGGAAACCAGCACAAAAGTCAACAACAGGTACCGAGGGGAAACCAGCACAAAAGTCAACAACAGGAACTGAGGGGAAACCAGCACAAAAGTCAACAACAGGAACTGAGGGGAAACCAGCACACAAAAGTCAACAACAGGACATGAGAAAAGACAACTATAGGAATTGAGCGGAGACAAAAACAAAAGGAATGACAACAACAGGACATCATACAAAAGTAAAAACAACAACAGGAACTGAGAAGATACAAAACCGAAAGGAAAGACAAATACTGGAGGTGAAATGTGTGCTACTGGAGCGACAGAAAATCCTCAGTAGACTGGACACTTAAGAAAAAATGATAATCCTCACTAGACTGGACAGTTCAGAAAAAATGACAATCCTCACTAGACTGGACAGTTCAGAAAAAATGACAATCCTCACTAGACTGGACAGTTCAGAAAAAATGACAATCCTCACTAGACTGGACAGTTCAGAAAAAATGACAATCCTCACTAGACTGGACAGTTCAGAAAAAATGACAATCCTCACTAGACTGGACAGTTCAGAAAAAATGACAATCCTCACTAGACTGGACAGTTCAGAAAAAATGACAATCCTCACTAGACTGGACAGTTCAGAAAAAATGACAATCCTCACTAGACTGGACAGTTCAGAAAAAATGACAATCCTCACTAGACTGGACAGTTCAGAAAAAATCATATGAATAATGAAACTTTACAAACATGACACCTCCACGGAATGGTAACATTAAACCAAAACTAAAACCTGTCAAAAAATAATGTGTTTATTAGTTGCGTTATAGTGGCAATTTTAACATAGAAATATAAACCGATAATGGTTTTCGCTTTCCTTATGTCGTCTTCCAAAGTAGAAATTGATTACATTAAAGCTTGGCTAATGTGCATATGTTATATTCGAACTGACGATGAAGTGTTCTGGGGAGTATTTTGTGGGAAGTTCTATGCAATTTGATTTCCAAAGTTTCATTTATTACTCAACATCATCAATGTCTTTTTAATTGGTTTGGCGGAAAATGTTACAATGGCGGGATTTACAGCACATGAAGTATCTACAGTATACCATAACATTTGGCGTTTCTAATCAAGTTTGATCGTTAACGTTCTGGCCAGCCAGGGATAACAACACTAGTTATAAACAACAATGCATCCGTCTACATAATAAAACCACAAAATACCAACGATAAACAAGTTCTCTAATGATTTTACCAGAAAAAATTGTAAATAAATAAACAGATTTGATTGTCAAAACAGTTCACAACCATTGATCCTGACGTTTTTGATGACCTATAAACCAATAGTAATAACGCTGAGTCTAAATGATCAGACAAGTGAAAACATTTGTTACGTATTTCAACTTATGGTACAAAGCCACAGTGTTAGATACAAACTTAAGTAACAGTAACTTAACGACGTTTCAACTACCTTAAGTACATCAAAGCACGTGTAACACACACAATCTATTACACTCGTGTAAACTTATATATACAATACAATACAATCTATTACACTCGTGTAAACTTATATATACAATACAATACATACAATCGACAACATAACTAAAGAAGAAACCTGTCAACCCTATATATCTATATATGGTATTTATGTCCCATAAAAATACAAAGAGTTTCTTAGTACCTCCCTAGCACTTTCACCTCTTTGGGGGTTCACCCGGGTAACAGGTGAGAGCGCTAGGGAGGTCTATGAAACTCTTTTGTATTTGTTTATTATATTTAATCATCACAAGGACTTTGAATGTTTTTCTGATATGTATATATTGCCGTATATGAAAAACATCACACATAATTCTTTTGACAACAATTGAAGCAAAGGTCAGTTCCAATTCGAGGCTCAGTGCAATCTTCACACCTGATTATACCTAGGATTCAAGCGCACCGGAAGTGTAAATACAATCAAAGTTTTTAACTATATCAAAATGCGCCCTAGGAAGCTATAAGGCTTACCATTAATTGGCGTCTACAACTATGTGAACTTATGATGTTTTACATCGCGAGTTTACTTTTGTATTCATAACATATGAAAGTAGATCTACATAATTTATAGTACCTTGATTGCTTTGGAGCCTTTCATAATCACAAACTTATAACCTGATGTTTGTGTAATTGATAACAAAGGAAATAATCAGATTAGGAAAATTCCATTTTTTAACAAGTAAACCATCTTAAATTTAACAAAGTCAAAATGTATTCTTTTCGAAACCGAAAACGGTGCTAATTGTTCACTTTGCAAGTCCGATAAAAACAATAGTTTAAGCATTGAAATATTTTGTATGATGTCACAGCACTAAATGTGAATATGCTGCCAATAACTACGACAAATTGCAAACAATAGGTAATATTTACAGGTATACATTTACAATCTGACATAACTCTCACACCGAAACCACACAGGAAGTTATATACAAATCAATATCGTTTAATGACACAGATTTTTAGCAGGATTAGCAATGAGACAGGTTATAGATTATTATGAAACATCACACAACTTTGTCAGCCTTATTTGAATGGATAAATAATTGTGATATATATATATATATATAACAGTGGAATCTATATGTACAATGGAGTCTGGACAAGCCAGTCACCTTCTTTCCAAGTAGATATTTCAGCCACCTCCTTTCCAAGTAGATAATCTACCCTCCTTAATTACCAGTAGATAATCTACCCTCCTTAAATACCAGTAGATACTCTACCCTTCTTCATCACCAGTAGATAATCTACCCTCCTTCATCACCAATAGATAATCTACCCTCCTTTATCACCAATAGATAATCTACCCTCCTTTATCACCAATAGATAATCTACCCTCCTTCATCACCAGTAGATAATCTACCCTCCTTCATCACCAGTAGATAATCTACCCTCCTTCATCAACAGTAGATAATCTACCCTCCTTCATCAACAGTAGATACTCTACCCTCCTTCATCACCAGTATATAATCTACCCTCCTTCATCACCAATAGATAATCTACCCTCCTTCATCACCAGTAGATAATCTACCCTCCTTCATCACCAGTAGATAATCTACCCTCCTTCATCAACAGTAGATAATCTACCCTCCTTCATCAACAGTAGATAATCTACCCTCCTTCATCACCAGTAGATAATCTACCCTCCTTTATCACCAATAGATACTCTACCCTCCTTCATTACCAGTAGATACTCTACCCTCTTTCATTACAAGTAGATAATCTACCCTCCTTCATCACCAATAGATAATCTAACCTCCTTCATCACCAGTAGATACTCTACCCTCCTTCATCACCAATAGCTAATCTACCCTCCTTCATCACCAGTAGATAATCTACCCTCCTTCATCATCAATAGATAATCTACCCTCCTTCATCACCAATAGATAATCTAACCTCCTTCATCACCAGTAGATACTCTACCCTCCTTCATCACCAATAGATAATCTACCCTCCTTCATCACCAGTAGATAATCTACCCTCCTTCATCAACAGTAGATAATCTACCCTCCTTCATCAACAGTAGATAATCTACCCTCCTTTATCACCAATAGATAATCTACCCTCCTTCATCACCAGTAGATACTCTACCCTCCTTCATCTACAGTAGATAATCTACCCTCCTTCATCTACAGTAGAAATCTAGCCACTTATAGTCAAGCCATCCTTGTTCTCACAATTAAGACAACAACCCTCGTTCCCAGCAAGTGCTTCGGTTGTAAGGCAGTAGGGTTACTAGAACACTTTCTTAAAGAAAATGGTCAATATGTCCTCAAAAATACTTACAATCGGATTGCTGGCGGCTGATTTGATTCGGATTGACTTATGGTATTGTCAAATGTTTCAAAAGAGGACGTGCACATCAAACCAGTAGTATCTGTGCATTTATATGCTACTAAATGACGTTCACAAGATTAGTTCAAATAGTTTAGTTTTCATTTTACACAAACCGTATAACCTATATTTGTTATCAAATACCATATAACCTATATTTGTTATCGAATATTAGTTCATAACTTGCAGTAAATTTAGTGCATTAATTGGCATATGATTATTACTTTAACAGGCGTTACTTAAAATTATTTTAATGATTATTTTAATAAAATGTCAAGTGCACATCTCTTTGAAATACTGAATCACATTAACACATGCGTACTGAATCATAAACACATATGTATCAAATAACGACACATGTGTACTTAATCACAACACATTAATCGTGTCCGTCCTGTTGGTATGTGGTGGTGTGAATCTTTCTCCTGCGTTGCTGTAACATCGCTCTCAATGTCTTCCCAGCGTTAGCTAAATCATCAGAACCTGTAATGGAAAATTGAGTATGAACACTAACTATACATGGCAGGTTGTAAAACAACAGAAATTTCTAATGAAATCTTAAGCAAAATGACTTTTCAACGGTCTCAAAGAACACATGTTATATAATATTGTTAAACCTAGCAAACACTTTGCCCTTGCTTCGAAAGATGTACCCAAATAACACAAGGGTCGTCAGTTGTACACAGGACAGTATTGATCTATAGTAAAATAGTTTTCTATGTAGGTACGATAAAAGACGGCAGTGATATTTGTGAATTTCGAGAATTCGGAGCAAGCTAGCTGTTTGGTGTATCAGTATATTAGTAATTATTGTTTGCTTTTACTCAATAAAAAGCTCAAGATATATTATCAACCGCCATACAACAAACAATGGACATACGACATACAGTCAGAGCTAAACGATCTATCGCGATGACTTTTACGGGGAATATTCCTATCAGGCAATTGCACTATAATCATCGTAGGTCAACACGACAGGTGATTGTGGTCGGACTTTAATTCAAACGGATACTTATCAAATATAATCATAAAATGACAACATTTGTTTCGTGGTATACGTATTGTTAATGAATGTTCATGCAGAGTTTGACAAATGCATGCAGGGTTATTACATAAAAAAGATAAAGCATTTCAATAACAAGAGGTGGAATTAATACGCAAAATCTTTTACGTTACAATACAAAAATTGCCCCACACATAGTCACTGTCAATACATTTTTTAAAATATAATTTTCAGAATTCATACATCTCAGAAAGATAAATTTGATCATAGTTCATCTATATGTCATTTTCATGAATGCTATTATTCACATTTTGAATAAAAAGACTTAGGTTTTGTCTGAAATCGATTATTTTATCTTATTATCTCCTCACATTGACTTTATAAACCTGAGCCAAACTATCTTATGTCTCTGTCCAAACATTTAAACACTGTGACAGATTTGAGAATGAAGTCATCAGGTGATTTTTAAGCATTAGTCACTCCATTAATCACACAACCACCGATTGATCTACTGTATTCTATCAAGACATCCCATAATATGTAGTGAAAAAAGCATGTTAGATGTGATCTATTGACTATAGAAAGGGTTATTCCGGTAGATGTGATCAACCATTAACAGAATATTGTTTATAAGTATATATACCAGTGTCTGTTTCAACATCAGCTTCTACGTTAGAAATCATGAGACATTTATAAGTTAGTGTATGCTAGATTCCTGTCATACTTTATCCGAAATAGCGTTGATAAATGTATGAACCAGTGAGTTTCAGTTACAACATCAACTTGTACAAAAGAAAGAATTGCACATTTATTAGTTAGTGTATGTTACTTTTCTGTTCAAAATTTATCTAACAAAGAGATACCCTACATTAAGTTCTCTCGAAAATATCAATTATTTACATGGATTAACGTATTAGTAAACCACTGCTATCTTTCCAAAAATATCAATTTTATACATTTATTATTACTGTCGAAAAAACAAATGGTTTAAGCACAGTCTAGAATATTGAGCAGCAATGTAAGGAGCTTAACTATACTGAAGTGAATGGATCACAGGAACAAATCACATCAACGCTGAAATTGATAAACGGAACCATATAATTCTCGACTCCAGCATTCAGACAAACACTTTATGTATTCAGAAAATGAGTCAATGGAAGAAGTGCAGGAATTGTCTAAGCCGTTATTTGGGACATACTGAAATGGATTCCTTGGAAATGTAACGGAATCGAGAACATACAAGTTCCTTTCTAATTTAGCATATTTTCTAAATCTATTTGTTGAATTTGAGGTAACATTTTTTCCTTGAGTGTAGACTTTTTTTAACAACTGTTGACTTTGTGTTAAGTTAAAGATCTTCCAGAAAGTGAGTTAGCAGTAGACTACCAGAGTAGAAGCTATGAGATTGCGTTGTATATTTTAGGTAGACAAAGCATGAAAGGTCTAGCTAGAAAATGGGTTTAGTTGAGGTATGGCACATATCAGATGGTGTTAAGGTCAAGGGTCAAGGAGAACAAAAAAGGCATGTACAATATATTACCATTGTCAATAAGGAAGTCAATAAGTGTCCAGCATATTTTCAAAATCTGTTTGTATTTTCTCCAAAACTGTTGAGAAATCCATGAAATATTGTTAAACAAGAGCTAAACTGTATGATTTGTTTTACAATGAAACTATTTATATGCAATTTGGATCTGTAACTCTATTTGAAACTAGTGAGTTCCAAATAATACTAGGAGGTACCAGGTCACAACAACGTGATTGAGATGTTGTGCAATGTATTTTTATTTTTATAAGTCCAACATTGTGCGCTCATATCAATTCTATAATATCCCACGTTACAACAACATGGCTGAGAGGTTTTCATATTTCCAACACCTGCATAACGCAAAAAAACATAAATTGGTCCACCTAATTTCACTCGAAAATGGTATAGATGGTGTGCATTAGTGTTATCGACTGTCGAAGAAATCTCGACATTGACATCCGGCAGAGATTTCCACTTCACGATTCTTATAAGATAATGTACTTGTTCACAGCTTGATTGAAAAAAATAAAAAATAAACATAGAAACGCTTCTTCAAAATAATAACAACAAACAACGTGCGTGATCAACCTAGTAATACGAACCACTGAAACTGATAGTTCGGTGGAGCTATCCCTGATAAATCATTGTTGTATAAATTTACAAATAGAAAATTTGAAATGATTCCGGTGTTACAGAATTATAGTCAACCCCATTTTTTTTAAAAAAAATTCTCACGAAATAAGACATGTTATGACCAAAACGAGATTGAACTATCATAAATGGATACAAGATATATTAAAATTTGAAAATGTGTAGATGATTGAATTTCAGTGATTTTTCGTATTTATTAGGCATCACAAAGATTGTTCCTATTTAAACCTAATAATTCTACGATGAGTCTAAGTGCTGTATATTAGGAACTTCGTTAGTCAGGACTCTTCCAAGTTCCAACCAAAAATTCCAATAAACATAATTATGTTAATCGAGCATCTGCAGGCCGTTCCGTGAATGCTGGAGTCCGGAAATTTCCGGATGGTTTGTATCCAGTAATCTCCACACTATTTGGATTATATAGCTTCCGAATATTTGAAGTCTGACAAACTCGCAGTCCCAATTAACGAAGTTCCGACTGATGTGGAGCGTAATACTGCACAAAGGGAGGTGTTTAGGCCATGTGTATACAAAGCGAGGGGCTAGGTCGGGTACAGATGCTTACTTTAATTGTATTACAAAGCCCTAGACAAATCAATGAGCTGAAATGAAGAAATATGTGTAAAACATTAAGTTTATGAAATGAAATGTATGCACGATATACTAGAAAGATAAATATATGTTCATATTAACAGTATTATCATTCTTAAATATGAATAAATGGGTTTATACTTGATCACATATATAAGTTTATTATTTTCGCAAAGGATTAAGTGTATCAAGCATTCAAATTGGTGGAATCGGGATCATGTGAATGTTTTGCACTTGTAAACAGATATATTAAACTCTTACACAGACAAACTCCAAAGTGGAATATATTGTTGACTGTCTTCATTCAATCTCTAACTGAAATAGTCTTGAATTGAAAATGAAACATTGAATACCACTTCCAATTTGTTATACCCCAGAGAACACTCTCTGTGTGACTCTCTGTCTGTCTGTGTGACTCTCTGTGTGACTCTCTGTCTGTGTGACTCTCTGTCTGTCGTTCTGTGTGACTCTCTGTGTGACTCTCTGTGTGACTCTCTGTGTGACTCTCTGTCTGTGTGACTCTCTGTCTGTCTGTCTCTCTGTGTGACTCTCTGTCTGTGTGACTCTTTGTGTGACTCTCTGTCTGTGTGACTCTCTGTGTGACTCTCTGTCTGTCTGACTCTCTGTGTGACTCTGTCTGTCTGTCTGACTCTCTGTCTGTCTGACTCTGTGTGTGACTCTGTCTGTCTGACTCTCTGTCTGTCGTTCTGTGTGACTCTCTGTGTGACTCTCTGCCTGTCTGACTGTCTGTGTGACTCTCTGTCTGTGTGACTGTCTGTGTGACTGTCTGTGTGACTCTCTGTGTGACTCTCTGTCTGTCTGACTCTCTGTCTGTCGCTCTGTGTGACTCTCTGTGTGACTCTCTGTCTGTGTGACTGTCTGTGTGTCTGTCTGTGTGACTCTCTGTGTGACTCTCTGTGTGACTTTCTGTGTGACTCTCTGTCTGTGTGACTCTCTGTCTGACTGACTCTCTGTCTGTCTGACTCTCTGTGTGACTCTGTCTGTCTGTCTGACTCTCTGTCTGTCTGACTCTCTGTGTGACTCTCTGTGTGTCTCTCTGTCGTTCTGTGTGACTCTCTGTCTGTGTGTCTCTCTGTCTGTCTGTCTCTCTGTGTGACTCTCTGTCGTTCTGTGTGACTCTCTATGTGACTCTCAGTCTGTGTGACTCTCTGTCTGTCTGACTCTGTGTGACTCTGTGTGACTCTGGGTGACTTTCTGTCTCTCTGTGTGACTTTCTGTGTGACTCTCTGTGTGACTCTCTGCGTGACTCTCTGTCTGTGTGACTCTCTGTCTGTGTGACTGTCTGTGTGTCTGTCTGTGTGACTCTCTGTGTGACTCTCTGTCGTTCTGTGTGGCTCTCTGTGTTACTCTCTGTGTGACTCTCTGTCGTTCTGTGTGACTATCTGTGTGACTCTCTGTCTGTGTGACTCTCTGTCTGTGTGACTCTCTGTCGTTCTGTGTGACTCTCTATGTGACTCTCAGTCTGTGTGACTCTCTGTCTGTCTGACTCTGTGTGACTCTGTGTGACTCTGTGTGACTTTCTGTCTCTCTGTGTGACTTTCTGTGTGACTCTCTGTGTGACTCTCTGTGTGACTCTCTGTCTGTCGTTCTGTGTGACTCTCTGTGTGACTCTCTGTCGTTCTGTGTGACTCTCTATGTGACTCTCTGTCTGTGTGACTCTCTGTCTGTGTGCCTCTCTGTGTGACTCTCTGTCGTTCTTTGTGACTCTCTGTGTGACTCTCTGTCTGTGTGTCTCTCTGTCTGTGTGACTCTCTGTGTGACTCTCTGTCGGTCTGTGTGACTCTCTGTGTGCCTCTCTGTGTGACTCTCTGTCTGTGTGACTCTCGGTCTGTGTGACTCTCTGTGTGACTCTCCGTCTGTCTGACTCTCTGTCTGTCATTCTGTCTGACTCTCTGTGTGACTCTGTCTGTTTGACTCTCTGTGTGACTCTCTGTCTGTGTGACTCTCTGTGTGACTCTCTGTCTGTGTGACTCTCTGTGTGACTCTCTGTGTGACTCTCTGTCTGTCGTTCTGTGTGACTCTCTGTCTGTCTGACTCTCTGTGTGACTCTCTGTCGTTCTGTGTGACTCTCTGTCTGTCTGACTCTCTGTGTGACTCTCTGTCTGTGTGACTCTCTGTGTGACTCTCTGTCTGTCTGACTCTCTGTCTGTGTGACTCTCTGTGTGATTCTCTGTCTGACTCTCTGTGACTCTCTGTGTGACTCTCTGTGTGACTCTCTGTCGTTCTGTGTGACGCTCTGTGTGACTCTCTGTCGGTCTGTGTGACTCTCTGTCTGTGTGACTCTTTGCGTGACTCTCTGTCTGTGTGACTCTCTGTGACTCTCTGTGTGACTCTCTGTCTGTGTGACTCTCTGTGACTCTCTGTGTGACTCTCTCTGTGACTCTCTGTCTTTCTGTGTGACTCTCTGTCTGTGTGACTCGCTGTCTGTGTGACTCTCTGTCTGTGTGACTCTCTCTGTGTGTCTCTCTGTGTGACTCTCTGTTTGACTCTCTGTCTGTCTGACTCTCTGTCTGTCGTTCTGTCTGACTCTCTGTGTGACTCTCTGTGTGACTCTGTGTGACTCTCTGTGTGACTCTCTGACTCTCTGTCTGTGTGACTCTCTGTGTGTCTCTCTGTCTCTCTGTGTGACTTTCTGTGTGACTCTCTGTGTGACTCTCTGTGACTCTCTGTCTGTCGTTCTGTGTGACTCTCTGTCTGTCTGACTCTGTCTGTCTGTCTCTCTGTGTGTCTCTCTGTCTGTGTGACTCTCTGTGTGATTCTCTGCCTGACTCTCTGTGACTCTCTGTGTGACTCTCTCTGTGACTCTCTGTCTTTCTGTGTGACTCTCTGTGTGACTCTCTGTTTGGCTCTCTGTCTGTCTGTCTCTCTGTGTGACTCTCTGTGTGACTCTGTGTGACTCTCTGTGTGACTCTCTGTCTGACTCTCTGTCTGTCTGACTCTGGGTGTGACTCTGTCTGTCTGACTCTCTGTCTGTCGTTCTGTGTGACTCTCTGTGTGACTCTCTGGCTGTCTGACTCTCTGTCTGTGTGACTCTCTCTGTGTGTCTCTCTGTGTGACTCTCTGTTTGACTCTCTGTCTGTCTGTCTCTCTGTGTGACTCTCTGTCTGTCTGACTCTGTCTGTCTGTCTCTCTGTGTGTCTCTCTGTCTGTGTGACTCTCGGTCTGTGTGTCTCTCTGTGTGACTCTCTGTGTGACTCTCTGACGTTCTGTGTGACTCTCTGTGTGACTCTCACTCTCTGTCTGTCTGACTCTGTGTGTGACTCTGTCTGTCTGACTCTCTGTGTGTCTCTCTGTCTGTCTGTCTCTGTCTGTCTGACTCTCTGTGTGACTCTGTCTGTCTGTCTGACTCTCTGTCTGTCTGACTCTCTGTGTGACTCTCTGTCTGTGTGACTCTCGGTCTGTGTGACTCTCTGTGTGACTCTCTGTCTGTCTGACTCTGTCTGTCTGACTCTCTGTGTGACTCTCTGTCTGACTCTCTGTGTGACTCTCTGTGTGACTCTCTGTCTGTCTGCCTCTGTCTGTCTGACTCTCTGTGTGACTCTCTGTACTCTCTGTCTGTCTGACTCTCTGTGTGACTCTCTGTCGTTCTGTGTGACTCTCTGTGTGACTCTCTGTCTGTATGACTCTCTGTGTGACTCTCTGTGTGACTCTCTCTCTCTGTCTGTGTGACTCTCTGTGTGACTCTCTGTCTGTGTGTCTCTCTGTGTGACTCTCTGTGTGACTCTCTGTGTGACTCTCTGTGTGACTCTCTGTCTGTGTGACTCTCTGTCTGTCTGACTCTGTGTGACTCTCTGTTTGTCTGACTCTCGGTCTGAGAGTGTTCCCCTTTTCATTCTCAAGATGCATGACAAAACAACATTTTTGATAGAGACTTAATAAAAAAGAAAAATGTTCCAGCTATTAGTTCTTTGAACAGTTATCAAATACATACTACACCATGTAAATCAGTATAATCTTACTTAGAAAGAGACACTGATCAATTTGTCATCCTCACTTACTACACCATAGTTAACTTCCTGTCTCCATGGTCACAACACTTATCACCTAGCTCCAGAACACACATATCGGTAGCTTAAATTTTCCTATATTACACATTTCTTCTCAAATGCACAATTTTCTGAAATTCATTCAAAGTTTCAATTCAACACATAATTTCAAAACATAAATTCATATTCATAAATATTTTGCTATTTCAACTAATTTACGAAGGAATTAAGGTCCTTAAATATATGATTTATGTACATTGGGAAACATTTCTAAAGTTAGGAAGTTTTATGACTCCAGGGCCAGGTATCCATAGCAACGGATAAATATGGTGAAAGACGGAGAACGTTCAGTTATTGCTAGCAGTGCATTCGTAATAAATATGAATCGCGTAAACAATACGTCTCCAAGGCATCAGCAAGCTCCGCTGGAAAACCCAGCTCTGATTAAGGATGATCGGGAGTTTGAGAGACACTTACTGTCAGAATCCTCATCACTGTAATCTGGGGATTCGGGGGCAAACGACGGAGGACTGCCTATGTGTGCAGACGACGACGTCTCTGCCTTCTTCTTCCGATCTTCGAGGATCTTCCTTAGTTCCGAACCACCTCTCGTGCCATACTGCACGACAGAAAGAAACAAACATTTCCAAAAAGTCACATTATCGACTAACAATGAACAAGCATTAACTTAATTATCAATTGCACTTCTAAAGTTCGGTAATAGAAACAGTATGCCACAAATTAATTACACTGCATCATACAGCTGTTTCGTCTTTCGAGAACTCGTCGGTGATGCTAGGGGTCAAAAAGGCAGAATCCATACATGTCTAAACTACTGTTGAAACAGAAGGGAAGGTGCATTAATACCCTTTATTTATGAAATTTGAAAATAGAGAGAACAGGGTAACTGAGGTCATGTTACTATTTGTTCCATATTTGTTTAGAATATTTCTACCAAGTGATTTAAACGTTCCTCATGAAAGGTCCATTAACTCTAATCATATCACAAATGAAAAAACGGTGTGGTTAAGTCTTTTAAAATCTCTATCCAGTCATCTGCGCTTTGTCGATTCTAAACTAACGCTATTACCAACATCAAATACTCTGGTTGTTAGGCCTAAAATAACGCCCATATCCAGATTCTGTTCTTGGGCTTACAATATCAATATCACATGGACAAATCTTAACTTCACTGACTTAGTTTGTTAAGTCTGCACTTAACAGACTGTTATCCGCACCTGTTACGTTATAATGTTTTAACTGATGCCTTTATCCACACCACATACTTACTTTATTAACACTAACGCCGTTAACCGCACCACATTATTACGTAGTAATGCCTAACACTAACGCCGGATCAACATCACATACTTACATTGTTAACACTACCGCTGTTAACCGCACCACATTATAACGTAGTAATGCCTAACACGAACGCCGGATCAACATCACATACTTACGTTGCTGATTTTCTTTTGAACCAACAGCATGCTTTCAAGTTTGTGTGCCTCGTCTTTTTCTAGTAACCGGTTCATCTCCTTTCTATGTAAGGTGAACAGCTCCTCACCATTGTACCCGTCAAATGTTTTTATACAGCTGAAAAAATATAATATCGTTCAGCAATACAATGATGGCAGTGAGTCTGTCATACTGGTGGATTTCGATGGCATTCTACGTTACATAGACAAAGTAAAAGTGGTATCATATTAGAATCGTCAAGCTTGTCCAAGCTTCAAGAACAATCCTGAGGAATTTCATATGCAAGAATTACTCAGGTTTACAAACTATCCTTAACTATACTTTTTCATTTCAGGTACGTAATTCGGAAACTTTGGAAAATTCCATTAACTTATACAATACATTGCTTGAGATTTTCCTCGACTTTAAGATGTTTGATACAAGTGGTCCCTCAACTGAAGATTATTTCCTTCACTCAAATATCCAGTGGAAAAACTGAAGTTATGGAATTTCTGAATGGTGCTAGAAACTGAGACACGATTTGCAGCACAACAATTAGCTTCTATGAGAATTCAGATTTCCGTGCCATGTGCATTTTACTTTATATGTAATAATTATTAATGTGAAAAAAATATGTAAAAGTACGGGAATATATGATCCCCCCCCAACGTCTAGATATACTGTCTGCTGAAGCAGTACGTAAAAGTACAGGAATATATTATCCCCACAGTATCTAAACCTACTGCCTGCCGAAGCCCTTGGTGAGTAGCCAGTCTTTAACCTCGTCTGGTTCCGAGTATTTAGATATGTATATCGTTCCCTTTGGCAGCTCCAGGACTTGCGAACTCACTCTTTTCTTCAGTTCATCGTGCAGGTCGCTCTTCGGAGCTTTGAAGAAGACAAATGTACAAAATGTATACAAAACATGTCAGTTCTTTTTTGGAGTTTTTATACGCATTTCGTGATTATCCAGAGTTATACCCATCATGAACTTGCGTTCCACGTACCTGGTTTTGGCTTAACAGAAGGTTGCTTTTTCTTTTTAATCGCTGGCGGTCTAGTTGTTGGAGGTGGAGGCGGGACCGGATTTGGAGGTCTTTCTTGTCTCCTCTCGTCTCGTCTATCATCTCGTCGATCTCGCCTGTCCTCGTGAGGTCGTCCATCTCGCCTGTCGTCGTACCTGTCTCCGTTCCTATCCCAAGTGACGTCACGATCGAAGCTGTCCTCGTTACTGCTACTGTAGTTACTATCATTATGACTTCCAAACGACAGGTCGTTTTTTTCCCGCGCTCGGTCTTGTCGTCCGTCTCTCCTGTCGTTGGTCTTTTCGTCGCTACTGTCATTCCTCCTGTGGCTACCTTGTCTAGAACTCTCGACACGCTTATCGCTGTCTACAATTCATAGTGTAATGTCAAAGAATTAGGATTCGCTTATAACTATTCCATCGCAAAAGATGTTTTCTGTTTTGTTTTGCAAACAAAGAATGGTGTTTCCCGAAAAAGTTTGATCGTAATAAGCACGAGGTTCAAGGAGCAAATACGTATCCCTCACCTGTTAACATATATATTTCTCAAACTGGCAAACTACGTATGACAACTATTAAGACTCTTGTAATCAAAGTATGATGAAAGTGTTGTTTTAAATTATTCACTTTTACCTTTCTCAAACTAGAAGGGGGTTAATGGACACTTATTTGGACAAAATAACAGATAGTGCTCTTTACCAGAAAGCTTCAAGACAAATATAAGAACATGTTTGAACTTTCTTGATACATTACATTTTCATGACTTTGACACAGGGTCAAGGTTATTTTTCTAAACGTATCCTATAGCTATTCATCACAATGTTATTTGCGACATGACATGTATCCTGACAGGCCTTTTGGTTCTGATAAAGTCTTAAAGGAAATATTGACGACGTCGCTTAAGTTCAGACACCTTGAGGAAGTTAAGCTGAACACGTCTAACATACTGAATAACATTAATATACATCTTGGGTTTCTGTATTCAAAATTGTCTTTTCCATATTAAAACAAAACTACTTGTACGTTTGCAAACCAAGTCTGTTAACTCTGGTTAGTATTAACGGAAACAGACACAAGTTAACCCGTTTGGACGTAACAAGGATGCATTTTGCTAATACTTGAATTAACGGAACATATCTGCAACTTTTCTACATTTGACTGACCCAAGTCTATGACCACGACACAACTAACCTTCTACATGTTCATTACACATGTACAGTAGGTATGTTCGGACCTATCATGATGTGATAGGTCCGAACAAATTCACTGTTTCAAAGTATCGGGTCTCTGCCATTTTGCTGAGGTAGATATTGTGACTAGCATACCAAAAATTTATAAAAACACCGAAATTTATTCGGACACAAACAACAATTATTCCAAAAACATATAAAAAAGTTTACATAGTGTGTTTGTTATGTACTAACATTAGAACCGAGATTTTCAACAATGTTGATGAGTTTATAAAACCTCAATGCATTTGCTCATTCTTCTAACATGATAATTTTTATAATTCCTTATTGAAGTGAATATTGTTCATTGTTTAAAATATGAAAGACAGTGTTTTTAGTCACTGTTTCAATGGAATGTGTTTTTAAATAGCTAGATAACTTAATGAGTGAAACATGTTGTGAACTCAAAGCATTCGTATTAATTTCTGTAATTGTGGCAATGATTTCCTGTATTTCTGTAATTGTGGCAATGATTTCCTTTATTTCTGCAATTGTGGCAATGATTTCCTGTATTTCTGTAATTGTGGCAATGATTTCCTTTAAGAATTGTGTGAAGGTTTCATTTGTCCACATTATCGTTACTGAATACGTGCATCAGCTTTGCGGTTATGTCAACTGAATCCTCAGACTTCGTTTGCTAAACCCATATTGTATGACTAAGTCTAATATATAAGGCACACGATAGAACAGACAAGATCGAGGCCCAGAGGGGCCTGTATCGCTCACCTGTTACTTTTGTGACATGAAACTGACATATAGGTAACTTCATACCAAATTTGGTAACTAGAACACAAGACATTTTAATATCTCTTAAACGCTTAAGATGTTGTTGTTTGAAATTTGAAATTGTAATGTTAAAGATTTTCTCCCACGTTGACCTTTGACTCCGGCTAGCACTTTAAGTTGACATTTTACCTTATTACTGTAATTAAGAAAAAGATTCACACTGATGGTCTATATAACATACCCAAGTTTAAGCATCCTGACTAGTCCAAATGGTTCTTAGGATATTGTTGTTTGAAGTTTTTAACATATTTCAGCCAAGTGACCTTGAACATAGGTCAAGGTCATTTTAATGAGGAAACTTTATAGCACTTTATCCCAGGTGCCTATTGGCCAAATATTATGACCCTGGGCCTTATGGAACTTGAGAAGATTTTTAAAGATTTTAACTCATGTTGTCATTTGACCCCTGACTAGCATTTAAAGTTGACCTTTGACATCATTACTGTAGGTAAGAAAAAGATTACCACTGCTGGTCTACATAACATACCCAAGTATCATGACTCTAGTCCAAATGGTTCTTAAGATATTGTTGTTTGAAATTTTTAACATATTTGACCCATGACCTTGAAAGTAGGTCAAGATCATTTTAATGAGGAAACTTTATAGCACTCCATCCCAGGTACCTATTGGCCAAATATCATGACCCTAGGTCCTACAGTTCGGACCCCGCAGTATGGCATAAGCTCACCTGGCCCTTTGGGCTAATAATGCGTTACGAGTCGGATACATTTACCACACGAGGTACAATGCCCGATTACCGAAAACATTCAAGCAAATAAAAAGTTCAGTAAATGACAAACCCAACAGCCCCAAAGTAAAAGTTATAACATCTCTTTCAGTTGGTAGTTTCTAGTTGAAATGGAAGAAAATCACTTGTACAAAAACGAACATTAAGGAAGTTTGGCAAGGCTTGAGAGAAAGATAGGAGGGGGAGGGGAGGAGACTTCAGAAACCACATCTGAAGCAGTAATAAGCCTTGTTTGCTATTAGATGTTTTGTTATCCGGAAAACATAAATATGAAATTCAACTGCACAATATATATCCTTACCTTCAGTTGCAGGTATCCGATTTCCTCATAACCGGTGGTTGTCTAATAATGTACCTTGTGACGATAGGTAGTCTCGTCATAAAAATACTTACCAATATTTATAGTCTACGCCATCAATCTCATTCGACTGCTTATAAAGCGTGTAAATTAAAAGAATCAAGACAACCTAAGACCCAGCTTCACATTGTGTCCATTTATGAACATAGTTACACATGTTCTAAAACAGAGCTAGGCATGTTTCTTCTGTTTTCTACTGAAACCTGTAGAAAGGACGACCCAAATCTTGGTTGTATGTTGTTCATCAATTTTCAGACTTGTAGCATGCACATTTCTCCATGATTCTACTACGGAATGGTCTTCACAAGTTGTACCTTGTACAGTCAATGTAATCGGTTATCGTCATAGGTCTTGTGCTTAAAGTGGCCGTTCTGGTGTACAGCTATTCGTCTACATGAAATTAGTTGCGACATCGGTCAACAATAACTGTCGAGTTCTGTCAGTGTCAAATGTTTGCCTGTAGTCAAAGCATGAAGAATCAAGACGGTATTCATGATGTATGTGTATTTATTCATGTTAACGATAAACGCAATACAAACGTTATCCATATATGAACATTTAAATGTGAATATAGCCTTTTTTCTTCATTTTATTTTCAATGTGTAACATTTATATTCAAGTTCACAACCTTTACGGCAGCAACAGTGAAGGTAGGCAAGTGCGTCAAAAGGATAATGCTGGGAGATACAGAGACTGGCTTCTCAACGAAAGTTACCCTTCCATTAGATGTTATAATGCAAATAAGGAAATATGGAAGCATTCTACCTAGCCCCTTCAAGTAAATGCAATGGAAGGAAAATTGATTTAACATAGCTTCAATATATTAGAAGCAGAATTCGAATTAGATCCGACAGTTAAAGTCTCGTTCTACCATGCTTCTTTCAGTAATGTTTAAAAAGAGATGGTGAAATGAAAAAAACAAGTCCACTTTCCAATAAGATTATCAAGACTGGCCTTCCTCGTATACGTTAGCATATAAAATCAACCTATATGCTAAATAGCAATTCCATTATAGACAAAGGGAGAATGTATGGCGTTGACAAAAATACCGAACTGAAGACGTTACAATGTACCACATAAGCATGCAAAACAAACTAAATTACACGAGTGCGTAGTGCAAAACACAAAAGGGAGGGTGCGGCAGTGCTAAAGGAGTAAAAAGAGGAAGGATTGGGTACAAATGTTAAGTAAACATTTTGAAGCAGGAATATATTTAAAGAATTTTTAAGCAAGTTAAACAAAGGAGGAAGAGGTTTACACATGCATACATTTTGTTTGATATCACCTTCCGCTGCTCAACGAGTCTGTGAAAGGGACAGGTGAGTGTAGCAAACAGTACGAAACACACTTTTGACAATATGGTTCTTTTGTTTCAGCTTTATTCCACTCGCTTTCAATAGTTGTATGATGCGCCTTTCACAGAGAAGATGAATCTAGTTGTGACAGCAGACAAACGGTTGGACGACAAAGCAACTCACCACCACCAAAGGTATGTAAACAGTTAGTTTGAAAATTAATCATCATCTTGTTAGTCATTTCACATCACACAGTAGATTATAGTCAAATTTCGTTTTAGTAAGTCTATGTCTATTCAGGTATGACGTCACAGTAGGATTTCAACACACAAATGTCATAGTCCAGCACAGTTTAGCTTCAGCTTACGATTAGGTGTATCAAAATAAACAACTGAATGAAAGTATATGATCTATTATGATAAAACACTGTTTGAAAAAAAAAAATTATACACTAAAATTGAAGGAACCTATTACTTTTTCACAACCAAAATCAATGGGTGACAAAAACTGTCAAAGGTGTTGAAAATATGAAAAATTATTTCACTTGTTTTTATTGAAACCATTTTTTTCTTTTATATAAAAGTTGAAATGAGAGAGTATAAAATTGTGCAAAAGTATCATAAAAGGTGTGTGCTGTAAATTAGACTTCAGTGCAAACAGACGTTCTATGATATAGTCTTTGTTAGTTCAGTAGGAGACTAGGTACATTCTCTATTGCAGTGTCGTTATTAGTATACCTAAGTGCATGCTACACAACACGCCATCCGAACACGTACGATATTTTGCCAATGCCACACTCTCACCACGACACCGACCATTACAACAATTCAGGTTAGATAACTCTGCACTGTTCTTCTAGATTCTCACCCAAAGTTAGGTAACTCTGCAATGTTCTTCTAGATTCTCACCCAAAGTTAGGTAACTCTGCAATGTTCTTCTAGATTCTCACCCAAATCGTATTACAATCCTTATATTTCAGGCGTATTAAGCTTTTGATAAACTCACGCGCTTTCGACAAACTAATTCTGTTTGAGAATTGCTATCTGGCGAAGTTTTAGCACAATTAACAACCCACGGGTCAATTTTGCCAGTAAATGTTTTTGGGAGCATGCTTACCCATTATATAACACGAAAACGTAATCCAACAAATGTTTTAACCCTTAATCACAACACGTAACAAGAATTCCCCTTACCTTGTTTGGGGACTTAACAGAATGCATCTAACGATAATTTACACCGACACAGATAAACTGTAATTTAAACGAAATATGATTGAAGCCATGGAGACCTAGCCAGCATTCCTTCATCGGCACTTACCTTTACAAGTTCACATCTGCTCCCAGGGCTACGATCATATTGTAAATTAGGGTCCTTTATCAATAATCAACCATTGTACTTCCAAAATGATAACAAATACCTGACCAAAATGATAATTCATTTTATCTCTCATGAGATACTGTGAAATCACTAATTTTCGTAGGGTTTTTGAATTTCCATGATTTCGTAATCTTCATCTTCAAATTTGTTGGTCAACGCAGTAAATATAAGCTTGACATGTCAAGCATTTCTCCGTTTGAATGGGTACTCTTAATCCATGAATTCATGTAACCACAAAATGGTGTTTTGTCGGGAAACCACGAAATTTGGCACCCACGAAAAAATTTGATTTCACAGTATACTCCAATAGAGTTGAGATGAATACATCAGAAGAGTTACCTACCTAGAAAGGAAATAATCTGGTTATCCTGGGTGTTCGAATCAAGTATATACATGTACAACAAGTATTAAATCTGTTGTTTATGATTTAGTTTCAAACGAGGTTGTCTGTTGTTGCAAATGATAAAAAAAAATATATACAGGCTATTATATCATTATATTGGGTGATGGCATCGGTATTACAAAACAAGTAATGTCCGATCCAGTCACTGATTTGATCAGTATTTCCTCGTGAGATATTTTGACATTTGTGATAAATGTATTCTAAAATCTAATTTGTAGAATTATTTTTTTTACTCATAACGAGTGTTAAAACATTCTCACAACCAATGGAGCTGTAGCTTTTTTAAATCCCTCTTGGCGTGATTACAATATAAACCCAAAAGGTTACAACTATTCTCTCATTATTTGACAATGAAAACGTGCGTATTAACATGACAGTCCCTGCTATGTATTGGCTCTCAGTGGTTATTGCTTTCAGTTTTGGTTTATTGATAAAGCGTCTAATTAAATCTCCAATCTACCTAAAGCTATCACAGTCCTTCATTTTGTAAATATAAACTAAAGCCATTTGTTTACAGTTCGTGCCGGACACTCCCAACAAACCACTCATGTTCGGCTTCTTTCATGAGTGAATATAATGTCAATACGTAAAATTAACCCTTTCACCACTGTAGACCATCATGGACTCATCCAGATCAATGCATGGGGGATAGTCTACTAAAGCTGCAAAGGGGTGAAACAGTTAAAGTTGTCTATTTTGTTAAGAAGGTAAGATTTATCTCCCAATCCTAATTATTTTCATTGCATAATCACATACAAAAAATTTATTGCTGAGGACATAGGAAGCTAGACTTAAGGGGTTGGAGCTCGTTTGCATAAAAATCACTAATAGAAACTTATTAGTCTTCATCTGGTAGTATCTTCTATCCACACTCCACAATAGTTAATCGAGAAGAACCTCTGACCATGACTTTCTACTATTCCTATTATCTAAGCAACAGTGGAATAGGAAAAAGAGTGCAAATTATATGAGGATTTTATGAAATAGAAGCCTTTTTGTTGATTTGCAAGGTCCCATTGTAACAATAAACCACTACAACCCCTGTTTTCCATTGGAACGGGTAGCACAAAGGGAAGAGCTGGCATGGAAACTGTAAATCTGATTTGTTATAATTTATATTGAAACATACAGCAGCATGCTGTTAGTGCACACTGGAAAATCTCATGGATAAATGGTAAATAAAATTGTACAAATATCTCTCTCTATATAAAACAAACCTAATTCACGTACTAGTGTATTTAATGACAATGGGATATGAAATAAATGAATGTATAATATATAGAATGTATATATAATGTGACGTATATGATAAACATTTTTGATACTTGTTAATACTTGGAGGGTATGTTCTTATATACAGGAATATCTTCTCCCCCTTTACCAGTTTATATACAAATGTAACGTCTTTGATGAACACGAACGGGAGAAACTGTAGAGAACAAACACGATCCCTAACACAGATACGTAGAATATGTCATTTTACCGAGCAACGGAATATAAAATAAAGTGCCGGGTGACGGAACAATGACAGATGTGTCAAATTCAAAACGTTTTATACCTTAAATCCCAACATGTATTATATATTAGGGTTTAATAATTTATATTATAAACTACTGTAATCTATATATGGGTCTGTCCTTGCAGCAGTACACACAAGCTATATACATTTCATGTAGATTTATGCAAATCTGTCCATAGCACTTTTCAGAAAAAACAGCCATTCTTTTCTTAAAATAAATGGAAAAATGTTTCAATAAATAAATAAAGCTGCTTGTATTACAGCTTAAATATCAAAGCCATTCTTAACTTCTAAAGCTCAAAATTTAAATGTGGCAGGAAAGTCATATAACTGTATGAAATCTGATTCTACACAATGCTTCTACATTCCCAAATCCTTGTACTGTAAAAACGATATTTATATTTTTCAAAAAAAAAATGAAAAATGAATATCTAATCAAAAAACTACATTTGAAATTGAAAAATATTTTGATTAAATCATCAGTGCAACCTTTGATGAATATAAAAGTTGTGCTGTTTCACTCTTACTAAAACAAACTTTTATATCAAAATCACCCTGCTCCTATGAAGAAAATTGGGAAAAAAGTTTAGGAAAAAAACTTATTCACCAGTACAGGTAAGAAATATATACAATCAGGTTAATACAATTATTTTAAGATTTATAACTATGATATGAACTGGAATGTTGTATACTTCGTTGCACTTTCCCTGTTCAGGATGTACTATATTTTTTCTCGTAAGTAAATAATTCTAGAACAAATTTTCAGTCACATCTTCAAATTTGTTTTAGAATAATATAATAACAAATGACTGGTTCATAAAAAAACTGCTTGAAATATATTCAATCCTGGAATCATTCACAAACAAGTACATTATCATAAACTTCATCTAAATGAAATTATAGAAAGAAAAAAAAAAATCTGAGGAATCGGCATCATAAAACAATAAATCTATTCCTGAGAAATCAAATAAAATTGTTTCCTTTCTGACACATAAACAACTATATGTTTTTAAATCATCAATTTGAAGTTAATTAACATTATGACGTATTGATATCGCTTTGATCCTAGTGCTCAAAAGTAGCGCAATGATTCACCTCTACGAGCTCCCATACGGACGTCTGGGGGCATGGGTGGAGGTGCGGGAATGTTGTGGCGTGGTGCGATAGAACTATTGTAGTCTCCGCTGTGTCTGTTATTGAAGTCATTCTGAAAAATCAACAGCAGCCAATTAGACTCTTTTATATCATTTGATGCCATTTTTTTTAATGATGCTTATTTCGTTTTACAATTCTAGAGATAAATCATTTTCCATTGGCTAACATAACCAATACACAAGTCTTTAATGATCAGGGTAGGATACCTCCAACACGCAAAAAATGAATAAAAAAACCAAAATAGTTATGATACGCATTACCAAGTACTTATATTTCATTTATTTTTGTTTCAAAATAAGTTTTCTGAAAGTAAAAACAATTTAAACAAAGGCAAAGTAAATTCACCTTGTATGAAAAATATTTCTTGGTTTCTACACATGTAGTTTTCTAAAATGATTGAAATAATTCATTTATCAAAATGTAACAAATACTCCCTACAAAACATAAGGAAACATCAATTTAACATGGAAGAGATAACTCCAACATCACTGAAGGAGCAGATAACTCCGTTCAATTTCAGTCAACACATCCACCTCGGTGTCATGCATACATGCTCTGCACTACAGATGTACAATAATTTGCCCTCATACCATTGGTGCTGGGTGGGGTCAATACAGTTTAAAACCTCCTATCGTTTATATTTAATCTATAAATGTTAGAAATCTTCCATCTGTGAAAGAAAGTACAAATTTTGCTTCCTCTCAAAACATTCTTGGAATAATTTCATACACATGAAATTCTCACAGCAAAAATGCTAAAACCAATCTGATATTATAACTTTTCTTTTCCAACATTGTCGAAAATTTAGAAATTATTTTTGTAAGGGTGAACACATTCATTGAGAGAAGGAATGAATAAAGTCATTCACTTTTGGCCATTTGTTGAGCGTTCGCCCCTGTGAGGAAGGTTTTGGGTTCTGTCCCCTGGCCGAGACATACCAAAGTCTTTAAAAATGGTAGTTTCTACTCCTGCTTAACGCTCAGCAAATTAGGAGTGGGACGACTGGTTCGCCCGTTGTCAGTATAATGTGACCGGGTGGGGCGTCCTGCTGGGTGTCTTCGGCAGTATGTCTCAGTGAGGTAGCACTATAAAGTCGTCATCAGTTCCGCGCTATCACAAGGAGACAAACACGAACATATCGCAGCCTCCCAAAATAGACACACATACACTACACGCATGCATCTTGCACACAGGGGAGGCCGTCCTTAAATGACCTTAGCTGTTAATAGGACGTTAAACAAAATCAAACAAACAAACAAACAAACCATACATCCACCCACTTACCCCAAAATAGGTAGTTTGTATATTTGTACATCTTCTTTTCTTTCCTCTGAATGATTTTAATAATGAAATAAGAACAAGAGGCCCAGGGGCCTTAATAGCTCACCTGGTATTTTATTTTTCAATTTAAAACCTGCTGAGTACCATTCAGGTTTATCAAAGGAGTACAAGAAACAAAGTTGCAAAAAGAACTACATATAAATCTGTTTTGGTGGGAAAGACA